GCCCCGCCCCCCCCCCCCGCGCCCCCCGCCCCCCCCCCCCCCGCCCGCCCCGCCCCCCCCCCCCCCCCCCCCCCCCCCCCCCCCCCCCCCTCTGGTTTAACTTGAAAAACTGCCTTCTCACTCCACGGAAGCTTAAACAGGAAAATATATATGATTTAGAGAAGTACTCACTATACGTATCCGACAGCCCGGATTTATGCAAGGCACTAATTCGACATTTTGGTTAGCCCTCATTGTGGTTAGGAGATTCAAGTAGTGTCTCGGAGCCATATAGAAGCGCAGAGACCCGAGCACTATCTGGAGAGATAACAAAGAGAGTAGGAGACGAACTGATACATCACGCGCGCGTGCATGAAGGTGTCTAGGGCGTATCGCGTAATGCGATTGAAGGGGGTAAGGAAGTATCGGTACGCGTATCGAGCTACCCAAAAGCCTCCACGGTCCCATCGGAAAAGGTAGTCTTCTAAAGGCACGTAGTCGACGATGGGCGAAGGTGAACCTGCCGCTCTCTTCTGAACATCAAGGTAGAACCATGGATCCCGCCGGCCGAGGTAGGGCCTAGGACTAGTTCCCGAAGGCAGAGTATCGACAAGGCGACCGGCACAGATGACGGTCTGGCTCGGCGAGAAGACAATGCCGTCCACGAACTCAACGGACGTATCGGCAACCTGTTCTTGAAGCTTCTTGGAAGCTTCAGCAAAGCTGCGCACAGGATAGTGTGTCAATTCGACATATTGCGTGGCATCTTGTAGCTGGACCTCCAAGAGCGTGACAATACCAATAGTACCGAAGGCTGACGCGGCGCCCCAGAAGAGATCTGGGTCTTCCGTTTTCGAAGCACGGCGGATCTCACCGTCCGGTGTGACAATTTCTATCCAATTGACAGTCGAGTCGAAGGGACCGTGGCGACCGGAGCTGCTCTCGCCCGCCGAACCGCTGAATCCACCGCCGACTGTAATGCCGGGGAATTCCATGACAACGAGCGGGACCAATCCATCTTTGAGAGCCGCCTCGACAAGTTTGTCCATAGGCACGTTCGGCTCGACGAGTGCCGTCTTCTTAGCCTTATCTATCGCTAGCACATGATTGAGCTGGCTTGTGTCGATGATTTGTTTGCCGTCTTTTTGAATGGCTCGCGTGCTGTTTGTGGATCCGTGATACACGCGGAAGGCGTCACGACGCGCGTAGAAGTCCTGCAGCCGTTTTGAGACGACCACCACGGCCTGGTCATGTGCCTCCATGATTCTCTGCAAAACGTCTAGTAGCGCTCTAGCCCGCCAACTCTCGACGATGAAGAGTATGGTTTTAGTTGTAGAGTACACTGCCTAGAAACAATCCTCCCGATGATGGGACCAGGAAGTTTGGGTGGGTCACGATGACAAAATCAAATACCTGGGACTCTGTACAAACCGCCACGCCAAGCTGGTGAGACTGACAACTCATCTTAAACACATCTTACACAGCCTCATCGCAAAACAAAATATCAAACTATGGAACGCACTTTAAAGTTTCACCGACCCTTGTGAGCATTGTTAATTGATGATGAACTTCGCCAGTAAGAATAGGTATATCTTCCTAGAATCAGCCTCTCTTGGTGTCAATGGCCTGACAGAGTATTGTCAAAGACATGAAACAATCGTCAACTGCTTCAGTCTCACTGCACCTTCGCCTCTTGTGCCATCAACTCATCATCGCGCTTGAGCGGTTTCTTTGCCTTTAAACATCATGAGCGAGCCCCTGATCTGCCATGATATCTTATCATACCGTAGGTAGACATGGCCCACTCCAGGTGAGATGGAAGGACGATTGCATACTGTGTTTTTAGGTATAATAAACAAGCGAGGAAGATCAGCGTTACTAAATAGAAGTGGGTAAAACTACAAAGCAGCGGGAAGAGGAGATACTCCATGCTTTAAATAAGATCGAATAATAAGATGGTCGAGATGGTTACTACTTATGACCATTGAGTGACTGGCTTTATGGGCTTGTCTTTGGAGGGTGCAGATAAAATTCTATATAAATTAGAATTTGAGCTTGTTTATCCATCGAACACCCCGCAATTATCCAGTTAGGGAATGGCAAGATGGCCGAGTTGGTTATGGCGTGAGGTTAAGGAGCACCTTAGCACGATTTCCTCATGGAGCAATCCGCGTGGGTTCAAGTCCCACTCTTGTCACAAATTTATCTTTTGCTTAATCTAGCATGGGAGTTTTTTTTTAAATTTTTTTTTTTCATCTTCCCACCCATGTGTTTAGAAGACTAGATTAAACCTTAAGTTAAGCTCTTTAACTTAACTACCGCATAGGGAAGCATATTTAAAGTTCAAATAGAGGGTTTTCATCATCTTGCTCTTTACTACTATCTCATCAAGTTATGAAACCATAATTGTGTAGGTACACAGTAGTTATTCAAGGCGGTGAAGTCTCAGCTGACTGGTCATGTAGAGATCATAGTGTGGTCTAATATATACTTACACTACTCCAACCTCGGTAAGATATCTGCAGGAGAACCAGAATCCAATTGAAGCTCCACCAGCTGATATCATACATACGCGATTAGTCCATAGGCCGAGAGTATCCATGGCAGCAGATTGATACCTTAGCAGACGCTTACATGTCGGTAGGTTACTGTAGAAAGCTTCTATTGGCCGATCAACAACGTGTGCGTCGATAGCGTTGGTGTAGTTCAGGTACAGTTCAACTCTCCCCTCCCTCATCCATGCACTCAGTAGCTGTGGTCTCACCCATATTCAGTTTAGTCTCACGAGACCAAGGTGTGCCCACGGGTCGAGCCGAACAAATCATTCCAATACATGGAAAAGGATTGGAGTATATTGGTGGAACACAGCATAGCATCGCGAGAGTAGACTACACATCTATGTATAACGCGTTTGGATCGGGTAGTTGTCTAATCGAGATCGCTGTACACTATGTCAGTCTAATGAGAAAATGAGGCCCTGGCTCCTGCATTGCCATCCTAGCTTGCTCGGCTAGACCGACTTGTTCACTGCGTATCTTGACCAAGCAAGATAATGGGCTAGCTCAATTCCTTCGGGCATATATATAGTGCGTTGGGATCAGTCGACTTTCCTGTGAGCCGAGACTCTCGACAAGCCAGCAAACGCAACCAAGCTGACCGTATTGCACGGAGCTGGTTTCAAGATGCGTTTCCCAACCCAATACCTCTTCGCGGCTTACTGGGCCTTAGGCGCTCATCGAGCAGCCGCTATTCCCGTCGCTGATAAGGTAGACGGCGCATCCCAATGCCACAAGACGAAGGTTGCGATCTTGGGCGCTGGTGTGGCCGGCATAACGGCCGCCCAGGCTCTTGTCAACGCGGTACGTCATTCCGCGAGTGAGCTCGTCGCGCAAGCGTGTAGAGTTCTGTGAACCCGTGCGTGCTGCAAAAGACCGATTGCTAACGCCATGGTATTACAGTCTGTTACTGACTTTCTCATTGTCGACCGCAATGACTACATCGGCGGCCGTGTGAAGCACACCGATTTCGGTAAGCGGGTTGACGGCACGCCTTATACCGTCGAGTTGGGCGCAAACTGGGTACAGGGACTGGGCAGCCCAGGTGGTCCTGAGAACCCCATCTGGACGCTAGCAAAGAAATACGGACTGCAGAACACATATTCGAACTACAGCTCCATCTTGACATACGATGAGGAAGGGGCCGCTGACTTCGGGTCTCTCTTCGATGAGATGGATGAAGCTTACACGATTGTCGAGCAGGATGCCGGTTATGTCTTGACCGATAACCTCCAGGATACTAGCATGCGCGCGGCTTTCAGTGTGGCGGGTTGGAAACCCAAGAAGAACATGCACCAACAGGCTATAGAATGGTGGTATTGGGATTGGGAGACAGCGTACTCGCCCGAGCAGTCCGGCTTCTTGTACGGAATAACGGGTTATAACCTGACCTTTTACCAGTGGAGCGACGAAAACAATTTCGTCACAGACCCTAGGGGCTTCAATGCCTTCATAATTGGCGAGGCAACCGAATTTCTCGGCGAGAACGACCCACGTCTTCTGCTGAACACAATGGTGAAATCTGTTGCTTACGGACCTGACGGTGTCAATATTACGTTTGAAGATGATGGCTGCATCGAAGCCGAGTGTGAGTGGCTTTGTTTGACTTCGTTCCAACTACCAGTGTCATGACTGACTGGATCACAGATGCCATCGCAACGTTTTCAATCGGGGTACTACAAAACGATATCGTAGAATTCAAGCCCCAGCTCCCGCGCTGGAAGCAAGAGGCTATCGAGCAGTACCAAATGGGAACGTACACGAAAGTTTTCTTTCAGTTCAACGAGACGTTCTGGGACACGAACACCCAGTACTTCCTTTATGCCGATGCGAACCACCGTGGCTACTACCCTGTGTGGCAGTCGCTCGACGGGCCGGGCTTCCACGAGGATTCGCATATAATCTTTGTGACAGTAGTTGGGCCCGAGTCATACCGCATCGAGGAGCAGCCCGACGAGGTGACCAAAGCCGAGTGCCTTGCAGTCTTGAGGGACATGTTTCCCGACAAGGACATTCCAGAGCCCGTCGACTTTATGTATCCACGTTGGAGCACAGAAGAGTGGGCTTTTGGGTCATACAGCAACTGGCCCGTCGGCATGACACTCGAAAAGCACCAGAACATACGAGCAAATGTTGAGAGGCTGTGGTTTGCCGGCGAGGGTACAAGCGCACAATATTATGGCTTCTTGCAGGGCGCGTGGTTTGAGGGTCGCGATGCGGGGCAGCGCATCGCTGGATTAATAAACGGCCCTGATGAGGAGGTGCTGTGCAATAGTGAAACCACTATTGACTGTGGTCCCCAGGCCAAATACGAGGTTTTGCATAGTACGACATTCCTGGACGAGTATAACGTTCTGAATGGATGGCCAGTCAGCAGCTTTTTGGACTATGGGTACGAGGAATAAGTTGACGAAATCGGAAAGAACCGACCATTGATGGAAATCATGAGCAATGCAGGGCCGGGATTGAATCCTATCTGTCTGGTATTGAAAATTTGAGTCATGGTGCACTCTTAGTGTAATGTTTGTACCTTAATCAATCCCCCATATCTTGATTCCAGCATCAGACTGGCTGGGCTGAGAACGACCGAATGAATTGAAACCGCTATGTACCCTCACTCCAGAACCGATCCAATGCTTCCTGTCTCACTTCCCATGCCCAATGATGGCACGTCTAGGACGGTAAGAAGTTAACTGGCTGGACTTTATCATTGTGTATGGATTTGTAACTGACCTGGTGCACAACTGGGCTCACCTCCTTCTTTTCGTCAACCTCGTCATCTTCATCTGTCACCGTCCGAACACCATTTTGAACATACTTCTTGAGAACTGTTACCTTAACAGTTAGACTTTCAATTCCATGAGTAATCGGAGACCCGATACCTGTAACCTGGTCCCAACTACTTGATCGCTGGTGTGGAAGGCTCATCGGTTATGAAGGCGTGGATGAGAATACCTACGTGCTCTTCTCCATCTACCGGTTGCGCCAACACACTTCCTCCATCTGCTAATCTGCCGTTCATCATCTTCGCACCGCCGGCCCAGCCAGAAGCGACAATACCACTGGAACCAGCCGCGCACATCATATCGGTGGTCGATCCAACCAGCAGCCTCCCACTCCTCAATACTCTGCCCACATGCAACGCCATATTTGTTGACCTCTGGGTTGTAGGTGGGAGAAGCGAGATACCGCTCCACAGAGATACCATCTTTCCATGACGTTGGTAATTCTTGCCAGTCGTCAGAGATGGTAGTGCGCAAGCGGCGTGAGTATAACGGGCGCCAGTACGAGCCCCCAAAGCTGCCCTCGCGTATCATGGCCTCGGGGGACTTGTTGGGTGTAAAGATGGGGTGTGACTCGAAGTGGTAGTTGCCTTCGTCGTCGCGCGTGGGCAGTTCAGCCACAGCTACCCATGATGACCATCCTGCCTTCAATGCCTCGATGTCTTTGTGAGGCTGTAAGTCGAGATTTGGAGATAGTGGTAATTTTTCTTTTTTGTGTTGCTGTGATGTTGATGCGTTACGTCGCGATTGACGGCCGGTATATGATGGGTCGCCTCCCGCATCTTCGGAGTAGTTGGGTTTGTTTGTCGCATTTGCGATACGTGCTGAAATGCGAGTTGGTTGAGATGTCGATAACTTTGGACGTTTGGATGATGGATGTCTAACCACAGCAGGCTGAGGGGATTGATCCTTAGACTCTACGCGCAGCCCATTTCGCAAGCCAAGTCCCTTCACGAGACTTTCATTACGTTTGATATTCTCAAGGCGGCGGGCCTCATAGCTAGCCATGTTGGCCTTCCAATTGATGGCTGTGAAAGTTGATCTCTAGGAGATGCCGAGTATATTCGATACTTATCTATATACGTACTAGTTAGGGGTATTTACGTAGGGTATATCATACTTATTGCTTTAATGAACCGCGATTCATTGATACCATGGATATATAAGGCATGTAAACATGGCGATGTGTTAATGATGTCTGGGACATCTACGTCATGGCAGAGTCATGGGTCTAACACGCGCGATAACCGATAACGGCTGGGATCTACTTCGTAGGTACCCCTGCCGGCTACTGCTAGTCTACCTTTTAGTGGCGGCATGGTGAAGTCCAGCACGGGAGCATTTCCAGCACTCCAAATCTACAGTCACATTACGCTGAGTTTATTTTACTAGGAGAGATATAATTAGGTTGGGACCAAGTAGGGCAGCGGCACGGATACCCACATTCTGCCACATCATGGTTCAAGGCCCGACTGACTTCATGCAAATCCTCACTACCTAGCCTCGAACCTTGAATGCGCTGCTGCGAAGATAACGGCTTGGGATTCTGAATCCTTGCCTCTCCTCCCTCCCTACTCAATACTCAATGCACATGCGCAATATCAATCGACGTCTGATGGGAAGGGACTTGACCTGGAATCCCATGCCGAACACGCCTTGAAGGGTGTCAGGTTCGTGACCCTGTCCGATAGCTGTTACAAAACCCCCCTTATCTGATGAGCGACGCCGATCGACTGGATGAATGCCCGACACCACACACACCCCGCGGCTTCTAAATGAAATCTTGGAGCTGATCTGGCTGCTACTCAACTGCTTCATTCTGGGAGCGGTTGCTACTTCTGCATAACATCATAGACCGGCTTCCCGTGCCAGTAATCAAACCACAATGGCGTACAGCTCTGCCAATAGCTTCTCCCACCACTCCTCCCACAGCTCCTCGTCCTCCAGTTCAATGGCGACTGAAAATTTCCCTCCTTTTCCCAGCTTCGATGTTGCAGAGCGACCTCCCGTGCCCGATGTTACCTCGACATCGAGCGCCCCCACAATGGTAGGCGCATCCGACGATTCGCGCGCCCAAACTCGCGAACTCTCTCATTTGAATATCGATACCACTTTCTCCCCAAGATCCGCGCCTCAGCTACCGCCGTTGTCCCCCGATGCAGTCCTGCGACACCGCAACACTCGGGCCAACACCTTCAGGACCTTGGAGGAGTTCGAAGATTTCGAAAGGCGGCCGGGTTGGAAACCGGGAGCTGAGCCCGGTATCGACCCCAGAAAACCCGATGGTGGACAAGATAGAATCCCGGACCTGCATGCCGAATGTCAGATTACTGTTGTCGACTTTTCCCGAGAGGATCTGAAGATATACGAGATGACCAACAAAGAATTGATTGACTTCGTCCAACAGAAACAGCCATCCTGGGTTCAATGTCGATGGATCAACGTCAATGGTCTCTCATGGGATGTCATTCAAGCCCTGGGCAAATACAAAGATCTTCATAGGCTTGCTATCGAAGACATAATGAACACAAGAAATCGAACCAAAGCCGATTGGTATCCTGGCCATGCATTTCTCATCCTTACATGTCTCAAGTTAGTGCGTGTTGTAGACGACGAGGATAGCGACGATGAAGAAGATCTTGAAGAGTCAGCTGACGATACCTTCATGCGCAACGCCGGGAAGAAGTTCAAGCGATGGATGAGCGGAAAGAAGAAACAGCACCCGGCTTCTGCGAGCATGATCGAAAAGGGTACGGGTACCGGCACGCTAGGCCACAGCTCTATGCACCAACCCACTGGGCTCTCCGATATCTTCAATCCCAGCACACTGCGCACCTTGCAACGCTACCACGCGGCTCCAAACGCCGCACGGACGGAATACATGGAGCGACACTCGGCCCTTGCGAACAAAGGCCTGGCGGTGTCAGCTGAGCAGGTAGCCATGTTTATCACATCGGACAACACTGTAATTGCGTTTTTCGAACAATCGGCGGACAATGTCGAGGAGCCGATTCTTGCCCGGCTTCAAAGTCCAACAACCATCCTACGCAAATCCTGTGATGCTTCGATGGTTGCCCAAGCCATCATTGATGCGATTATCGACATGGCGATCCCGGTAACGGCTTGTTATGCTGACATTGTTGGCGACTTAGAGCTCGACGTATTGACACATCCGAGCGTAAAGCACACTAAGAGCTTATACATAATCATTTCAGAAATCAACAAGATGTTCAGCTTTGTCAATCCTATCCAGGCCCTCATCAGTTCGCTGCGCGATCACAAGACGAAGCTGAGCGAAAAGGATTTAGTAAGAGAGCTACAGAATCCAGAGGGCGGTGTAATCATCACGCCGGTAACTTACACGTACTTGGGAGACGTGTATGACCATTGCGTCCTCATCACGGAGAATCTAACGCAGATCAAGGAGTCCGCCAATCACATGATAGACCTGATATTCAATACGATTGCGACTTATCAGAACGAGAGTATGAAGCAACTAACGATTGTCACGATTATTTTCCTGCCGTTAACCTTTATCACGGGTTATTTTGGGCAGAACTTTGGAACGTTTCCCGAGGCGGAAAATCACGACAGCCTATACTTGTAAGTACAAAAGAGTCCAGGCGATTGGGCGGTTCTGCAAAGGATAAGCTGACTTAGAATAGCTGGCAGATCGCTATTCCTGTTGTTATAGGGACGGTCATTGTGCTGATGCGGGACATCATATACGAGTCCTTTGTGACGTTCTTCCAGCGTAGACGCATTGTTGGCATTCGCAAGAGAAAGAAGAGCTTAGATAGAGCTAGAAGACGGAATAGGCTCCAGTTCCCGAGAACATCCTAGGCGGAGTCGCTCTGGTTGCCATGAGCCGTGGGACGGAATTGAGGTCGCGGCAAGGCATTATTCTTAGTTGAACCAGCGTCTAACTGTAGTGTGTATAAATAATACCCCGTAGAACGTAAGATTGTCTTGGTTATCCTATATGAGCTCTTGGGCTTTGTCTTATATGGTAGTAGAAAACCTTATGATTAACACAACACACTACCTAGTGCCCATTGACTGTACGCGATGTATGGCGAGTGTTTCCCTGTCTACATCCAATTCATGATAATAACCAAGTAGGTAAGCTGAAGTAGTAAGGGTCTACATACGGTATTATTCTATTCAACGAGTACGGGAGTATGCTCGTCTGGTCGACTGGAGGCCATTGCCAGCGCCCAGCTGCATGATCCCTGCAACACTACCTCATCTTGCCGAAACAGGTGCAAGGTTGCGTCATGTGGGACTAGTCTGAGGCCTAGCTTGGTATCGCGTAGTCTTAAGCATGAAATAGGTGCATCGTCTACATAGTACTTATCACCTCTGTATGGCACATTCCTATGTTAACTCCCTACCCGGCATCTACTTCGTAGGTGTTTTATCCATTATCTGCTTTTTTCAGTCAAGTTCTTGAGAGAGCGATTACCTATTGGGAATGACTCGTTCTGCTCAGCTTTTGCGATTTCCTTCCTAGCTCCTCCGTCTCTCATGAGTAGCTTTCAAGATGGTGAGCCCTCTTTTACCAGTTCCTCAAGTGGAGGCGAGACCGAGGGTGCTGAACTAGAAGAAATATGCCTTTGATTCGAAGAACTGACCAGAGAGCTCGACCCCTAGGCTAACGCGACGACGCCCCTCCTTGCAAACCATCATCGCGATCCGATCGCGCCAACTGGCGAGGAGGAAGAAGCCCTCCGCGGCCAATCTGTAGCCACCCGGTCCCACCGATCCATGTCATCCCGATTGCGCGAGTCTCTTTTGTTTGCATGGGCACTACTCGCCACAGCAGCTGTGCTGGTCCTGGCTGTATGGGCGTCTCATAAACAACAGACCGGCTTCGACAAGCCCGCTGGGAAGCGCAATCTCATCTTCATGGTGTCCGATGGAATGGGTCCAGCCTCACTGTCCCTGACCCGGAGCTTCAGACAACATACCGAGGGCCTCGAGTACGGCGATACCTTGACCCTAGATAAGCACTTCTGGGGCACTAGCCGGACGCGGAGCAACTCCTCACTCGTGACTGACAGCGCTGCTGGTGCCACTGCCTTCAGCTGTGCTAGGAAGAGCTACAACGGTGCCATCGCCACGCTCCCCGGTTACAAGCCATGCGGGACTGTGCTGGAAGCCGCTAAGAAGTCGGGATATACAACAGGCTTGGTTGTCACCACCGATATCACGGATGCCACACCTGCCTGCTTCGCTAGCCACGTTAGCGACCGCTCTCAACAAGACGAGATTGCTTTGCAAGAGATTGGTCAGGGGCCCCTCGATCGTGTTGTAGACTTGATACTCGGGGGCGGTCGATGCCATTTCTTGCCAAACACTACCGATGGAGGCTGTCGTGAGGACGACATTGATGTCATTGAGTTGGCACAGAAAGAGTACGGTTGGAACTATATTGGCGATCGAGCTGCCTTTGATGACTTCTGGGAGGGCAAGAAAAAGGTCCCATTGCCCATGCTAGGCCTATTCGCCCCAACCGACATTCCCTTCGAATTAGATCGCCGGACCATGAACGACCAATACCCCAGTCTGAGCGAGATGGCTAAAACGGCATTGCGTGCGCTCGAGAAGGCTACGGAGAAAAGCGACAAGGGTTTCTTCTTGATGATCGAGGGTAGCAGGATCGACCACGCCGGACACGAGAACGACCCCTCCGCGCAAGTTAGGGAGGTGCTGGAGTACGACAAGACCTTCCAGGCCGTGCTAGATTTCCTGGACGGGAGCAAAACCGAGGGTGTCCTAGTTGCCACCAGCGACCATGAGACAGGTGGTTTAGCCGTAGCAAGACGTGAGTTGGATAGCCTCCCTTTTACTTTCACTACTAATGTTAGTTAACTAAACTAACCAATGAGTAGAAATCAACGCAGACTATCCGCAATACCTCTGGTATCCCCAAGTCCTAGCCAACGCCACGGCATCCTCGGAGCATCTGGCGCGTCGGCTCTGGAAGCACATGGCCGCCTCCCCAGACGACTCTGTAAAGGAGCTAAAGAAGTACGTCAACGAGGAGCTCGTCATCCCGGGCCTCGGCATATCGGACGCCACGGACGAGGAGCTAGACAACATCGTCCTGTCCCCAGCGCTCGCGCAGCCCGCGTTCGCCGAAATGATCTCGGTCCGCGCGCAGATCGGATGGAGCACACACGGGCACTCCGCCGTCGACGTCAACATCTACAGCTCTGGCGGCCCGGGCACCGAGGCGCTCCGCGGCAACGTCGAGAACACGGACGTGGGCGTGTTCTTGAGGGAGTACCTTGACGTCGACGTCGACGCTGTGACGAAAGAACTTAATGAGAAGATGGTGATTGAATCAGTGTCCCGTGAGGCAGAGATGGGCGAAGTGGATCATTGGGAGTCTCACCAGGCGTTGGAGCAGCGCCGCATGCGCGAGTCTGTCTAAGTCTGCGTAAAATCATCTTCCTAGCATCCTTCGTGTATTTCTTTTCCCTCCTTGTTTGCATTTGCATAGTTGCATTTTGCTGTCCACTAGACGGTCGATTACTTTGACAAGCACAAACACAAATTCCCGGGTGCATTTTTCATGATACACGCATTGGTTGGGCTGCATGATTCGTTCTAGCATTCATTTCTCTCTTCCCTTTGGCCTTGTTTAGATCAGTGGCAATGGATTCTAGATTTTGAGGATTTTGCCTTTCCGCCGCGGATGGGAGAGGAACTGGGGTTCATAGAACAAGCGCAGTTGCTGCCGGGTATACGGTTGTTTTACGCCTGTGGTATAGCTGCAAATTGAAGCAGCATAGTTCGTATGAACTCGACTAGATACTAGAGTGGCTGATTGACTGTTTGGAATGAGAATATTTTATTATGGAATATGTTATATGCGTATGAGATAGTGCTGACGTGTATATCATGTATGTTTCATATAACTATACTCATTAACTTGCGGCAATTTTTATCAACGGTAGATGTATTTGCGTATGCCATTGTACTTGCAGCATAGAAAAGCGTGGTCCTGGAAAGATCTAATTTCCTGGCTTTATTACATATACTTGAACAGTCCAGCTTTACCATAGAAATTGAGTCTATATGAAGATCCGGCATGCCTGTCCGAAAGCTGTTCAATTCTCGACACTCGACTGTTTCTATTTGTCTTTTCTATCCTTATTACAAGTCATTTCTGTCTCTTTTTGGGGACCAATATCAATGAGCGACATGAAGATACGGAAACCGTTTCCAGTTGAGCCAGCCTGCTCTGCATCTGAACCGTCAGATCAGGTAGTGACCAGCCTGGATACATCAAATCACGTACTTTACGGCATCATTAAAACTGTATAACGCCCTCTTCGTCAAATCATAGGGCGCTCCGATGTTGGTTGGTTGTTTCCATGTCAAATTCCCTCAACAGGAAGCTTTCGTCTGGTTTTGAGCGACTGGCATATTAACCCAAGTTTCCAACATGTGTTTTCCTAAGATACTGACTCCGACAGCAAGCCTGGGGTGAAATTGACATATGGAATCATTCTGGGTAGAATCTCTAATTGGTAAGGGAAGTGTTTCAATCGCTGTCGGAAAAGTCGGCTTCGTGCAGCTCGTCAGGGTCATTTGGATAGCTGATAGCAATCTGTCCTTTCAGGTGGTCCGCGAAATACATGTTTAGCCGCATTTCCTCATCTGTGGTTAGTTTCGCTTCGTGCCATTGATTGAGCAACTCGACTTTTATGCCCTGATTACCAACGTCATATAATCTTTCCGCAAAGCGCAAAAGATTGTCAAACGTAAAGGCAGTTACGGCGGTGACTGTAAGAGTTGCCAATTTAGATAATTTACTCAATGGCTCGAGAATTGAGTCGTCGATTAGCTCTCCTCCGAAGCTAAGCTCTTCTATGCCTGGAAGCGCTGTGGCAATACGGCTTATTTCGTCCGAGGACACATATGTCTGCATTAGGTTGAGGCTAGTTAGAGTGTATAGGTGGCATATTGAATCGGTAAGTTCGGGGTTTTGTGATAGAACAAGATCATTCGTGGACTGATCTTGGGAAGCAATGGCAAGTAACTTGAGCCGTTTTTGATGACCGAGAGCCTCCCATGTCGCTTTGGTCACCTCTTCTGAAGCAAAATGCCAGTCCTGGATGTGTAAAGTTTCGAGACGGATCTCAGGGGTTGGTAGGACATGATGTAAGATAGGCAAGGCATCTCGGACATGGTGAAGACCTAGTTCACGCAACGCTTTACAGCTCCTAAGCCATTCAGCAACCTGTACCATCTCAGTTACAGTCATGATGTCAAGATCGGACCCATCTGTTGTATCCTTCTCAATAACGAGCCTTTCTAATGCAGTACACTCGGAGAGTATGTGAATACGCTTAGTAGTGGATGCTGGGAGGCTCCTGAGATCCAGGACTCTCAACGATTTAGCATGGGTCCTGAGGGCAGCGAGGGTAGCTCCACTAAGATTATTGCGACTAAGGATCTCAAATCTTTGAAGCGTATTAGGACGAAGCGCGAGGAAAAAAGCGGCTACATCCTCAGCTGCAGTATCGCTGGAACAATGGAAACAAGTCAACTCGGAGAAATTAGGGCAGTGCGCAGTGATAGCGCCGGCAGCCTCCACGCCCAACACAGACCCATCCTGAATCTGTAACGAAGTCAGGGAGCCAAGGCAGCTGAGCCAGGTTGGAAGGATGTCGCGAGGGAAAACAGAGGCTTCTAGATGAGTCAATGCCATGGTTGTACTGTCACCATCGGCAAGTTGCTTAGCGTATTGAATAATAGATTCTGCACATTTGCTAGTGATAGCCGGGTTATCGAGAGGCGGTAGTCTCTTGCGGGTAGTCTTGACAGACTCGTAGCCCCGTTGTAAGACTAAGAAATCTTGCATCGGGCCTTCGAAGAAACATTGACGAGCAGCTGCATCAGAGCGAATGTCGTCCAGACATTCAACAAGGCTGCCTAGAGACAGAGCACGCATATATGCACAGTAAGGAAAGCTGCAATACGAGTCGGGGTCAGTATCTACTACTTTGATCATTGTTTGGAGATTTAGATTTGAATCAGCTGAAGGTTTGCAAATCCCCGGTTTCGCCTTGATAGGAGGCGTTGGTACTTTGAACGCTGCCATAACAGGACTCCTCTCGGATACAAGGCTTACTCACCGTGTAGCCCCGAGACTAGACAAAATGATGGCCCGCCAGAGACGGATAGATTGATTTGTATAGAATATGAACGGATCCATAACTTCCAGGATCCTGTGAAAGCTGTCAGCAGAGGAAATTCCCTGTGGAGGTCTCCGACCTACCCGTAAAGCTGTTCGACGGCGATACTGGCGGTTCGATGGTTCACTAGGGAACAGTTGAACAAGGTACCGAACTGGCGACGTAGACCGAGCTCCTCGCATATGAGGAGCATAATGTCCTGCGGCAACACGGGTTTACTCATGTTTCAGTCTCCCTTCCGAGGGGCACTTGTTGGGATTATTGGGTTGGTAGCAATATGGAAGAGGACAAGAACAGATGAGTTGGAAGAGGCGAAGATGACGGTGACCTACTAACATGTAAGTGGTGTCTACCCAGAAATTACTTAAATCATCACTGTGCACAGTGTAGATGTAAGTTATTCAAACGTGGTCAGGCACTATGTAGACTGCAGATGGTCGAATTACAGCGCTTGTCATAGCTCGTCATGGGTCATTCAGAGGTAAGCCTCCCGGGCTTGGACAGGGTGCCTACCGACCACGCACTGTGTTTGCCTGCTTCAATCCATTCACCACACGCTCTAACGCGTCGCGGGGTAGGTTGTCCCTCCTTCCGTGTTGGCCACACCAATGAACACTTGCAGAGCACATGTACTTTAGGTACCTACACCCAAGGTACCTTTCATATGTGCTTTTCTAAAGGCAGATACGAGTGTCAACGAAGCGTCTAACTATCTACACCTTGTGGTATCCTCGTCGATACCCCGAGTGGTTGCGAGCCCGGGCTTGGCCGAGAGCTATGGCTGTCTTGAGATTCACTTTAAGCGAGGATGGAGTAAGTGTCCTACGGGATGCACTGTCGTGCCTTGGAAAGTTCAGCGATGAGGTGTCTCTAGAAGCCAAGAGAGACAAGGTATGTGTCATTGTCTATCCTGCGCTATCTACTTCGTCTTGTCCTTTATGATTTGCTAAGAGTATTCATCTTCTGTGTTGAAGGTCGTGTTTACCGCCCTGAACGCATCTAAGTCGGCGTATGCCGCCGTCACCTTGGCCACGAACCGCTTCTTCTCCAAGTACCAGTATGCAGGCGTCGCACAACACCGCGATAAGTTCTTCTGCAAACTCCACACACGGGTAGGTTGATGCTCCGCGCCTGTGGCATGTCGTGGCCTTCTGGGCGTAGACACTAATAAACCCGAAACCAGGTGTTGTTGTCTCTCTTCCGGAGTCGAAGTGGAGACCCCGCGCATGAGAGGGAAAAAGACACCACGATAGACAGATGCGATGTCGTCGTCATTGATGAGCCTGGCAAGAAGAGCAGGTTTATTGCTCATATCGTCTTTCGAAATGGTGAGTTCTATGGTGACAGCCACCCCAGTGCACCCGACTCATGGTGACAGGAATAACTACCAAGTATCGGCTGCCTTTCGAGGTCACTCCCCCGGTGCATGCCAAATTCGATATAGCTGGGGCCGTGAATAGCTGGGCTATATCGCCGAGGACATTGCGTCAACTGATGGACCACTTTGGCCCTGGAATTGACTACTTGGACATTTATGCCGAAGACGAAGTTGTGAATTTTACTTGCTTTACTGAGAAAGCTGCCAACGGCGACGGTAAGTCACGCCACCAAACTCTCGATAGCGCGGCTAATACAGATCGTTTCAGAGGTCTTGAAGAAGCCACTGCAAACCTCAATTGCCGTGGCACAAGACGAGTTCGATAGCTTCCAGGTAGAAGAGGAAAACCTCCATATTGTCATCAGTGTTAAGGACTTCCGCGCTATCACGCAACATGCTTCCATTTTGGGGGTCGAGGTTCTGGCTCATTATTCGACACCAGCCAAGCCTATGCGGCTCAAATATGACGGCGACGGCATCAAGTGCGAGTATCTACTAATGACGGTAGGAGAACGTGGGGTATCCGGTCAAAAAACCAAGAAGGCTCGAGCAAACGCAAAAGGGCCAGCTGGACCGCAGCTCGAGCAAACAGTCAGCAGGCATTCACCTGCTCCGATGACCTCATCGGCTAAGACGCCGCAGTCTTACCCGAACCCCATGCCCTCTTTAAGGCCACCTATAGAGCGTCCATCCCAGCGGCCTCCTCCGGCCACTCTTGAATCTGAATCTCTCTTTGTGCCTCAGGACAACGATGAACAGTGGGAACCGGTCAATGTTGATGAAGACGGAGAGGATGACGAAAATGCGCGTTTGGGCTGGGATACTAGCGGTAATCCGGTCAGTATTTCCTCATATTGCATACTAGCTTCTAGTGGAATGCTGATCCATACTCAGAATCCATCTGCAATGAATATACGTACCGTAATGAGTAACGAACCAAACGATTCCCGGCCTAGCGAAAGCAATCAGTCAGAGCCAGAGTTAACCCAACTAGACCCAACACAGCGTCTTTCTCAAGTTCGTAGATTCGGCCTCTTTGGCGAATAGGGCAGGGGCGATACAATACTGTGTATTGTTGTGCAGAAATTGATGTGGTGTGCGAAGCACTGGTTGACGATGATCCAGGCGCTTTTGATATCAGCAATGTGAGGCACACAGACCTGGTTATAAGTAAAGACCTTCTGCCATAATGTTAACCCAGCTTGTTGCACAGCCAGCTCCAATAGCTGTTATACTCGCTCCCTCAGGGAGATTCTTCACTGAAGCAAGCACGTTCCAACGCCCTTTCACATCGCCAGATTTCTCCTCTGTGTGAGGTCCACAGTTGCCGTGCTCCCCCCATCCCCAGGCCAGTACTTCGCCAGCTTCTGTTAAAGCTACGACATGCTCACTTCCACCTGCGATATGGGATACTTCCGGAAGCCCAGGGGGTGGTAGCTGACCATGATCATCTCGGCCCCACGCTAACAGCGTCCCATCACGCTTAAGGGCGTATATACTCCCCCAGCAGGCCGACACAGCTTTCCAGTTGGGTATTTCGGGGGGAGCTTGACTCTTCAGTCCCCATTTATCAGCCCCCAGAACCAAGACTCTCCCATCCCCGGGTTCTGCAACCAGACAGGTCGTGTATTGACAACAGACTGCTTTGACCGCTTTGAAGGGAACGCCATCGATTTTTCTAGGCTTGGTGACTACGGCTCTGGCATCCACGCCGTCCTCTAGCTGGCCTAACTGACCGTGCCTTCCGTTACCCCAACCATAGACATCTCCGTTATCAAGCACGACAACGACATGTCTGAATCCGGCTGCAAGGCTGTTCACGGTAGTCCCAGCGGGAGGGAAGTCAGGGACAGATGCGGGAACTTGGCCCAGGTCCCCGGTCTCACCACAAATGTATACCATTGTTACCTGGTGATTTTCATCGGCCACGACAAGGATCGTTTTGTCCCATGTGCAGGCAGCATGCATGATATGGTTACAGCCAGTACCAGGGAAACCTGGTAGGCTTAGTTTCTGAAATATAGGGCGGCTGTTCACTTTTTCTTCGCCATCGACGATTCCACAGCAACCGTTAGTATAGTCACCACTCCAATACGCATTGCCGGATGCCGTGATAAGAATCGTGTGGTTACCGCCTGCTGCCACATCGACGACAGGGTCGTTCTGGGGAGTCTGGTCGAACTCAACCTGTTTGGGTACGGACACGTCTTCCTTGTGGCCCAGGCCTAACTGCCCTGAGCCGTTGGATCCCAATGCAAATAGACCCTCCATTGTTAAATAAATCCTTGCCAGTTTATCTTGGCTTGTTCCTTGCCGCTAGGTAGGTATGTGATCGAGCTGTTCGCAGGCTGCTGTAATCATAGCTGTACAGTAAGTCGGCCAGACCCACTCTTTACCAGTAGGCAAATCAGTAACTTATCCGACAAATTTACATATATACGTTATGTGAGCATCTACCTATTAATCGGCAGCCTGTTACAAATATTACCTAGTACATTGATTGTTGCCGGCCTACCTAGGTAGTGGCGCGCGCAATGTGGCTACTGCCAGTCTTCACCAGCCACTCACCCAGCCACACTAATTTCTCCGATGCGGATCTAGTGCCCAGCCCCACTAAGACTTTTACTGCTTAAAGCTCGAAAAAAAAAATAAGTTCCTTTCTCTCTGCTTCAACGTCGCTTTTCCTTCCATTATCATTCTCAAGGCTTCTACCTTTCCAGATCGCTCACGCTGCATTGACGCGATCCATACAGACCTTTGTGGTCAGGAATGCTCCTGAATTATGTGACGCAGTTGTCCGGTTGATTTCTAATTCGGCATTGCCCTTGGAGCCATTCTTTCTCGCTGTCTCCGCCCGCAACGATTAGAGCTTGGCGACAATGCCTTTGAGTACACTAACATACGTTCCTCCAGGGATGGAGAACTTCATTGTCGGTATCATCGGTATGGGTGATATGGGCAAAATGTATGCTCGGAGGCTCAGCGATGCTGGTTGGAAGTAAGCATCCCGTGACGTGTTGGCAGCCCAGCCAGTTGAGCCTCCACCCACCCTCTTTGTGGTAAGTTTCTCTCCAGTTTGTGGCTATTCTTCCCTCCTTCGCAAATGATGACTTGAGTGCATTTGGCTCGAGCATTGCCTTCAACTAGTTGGATCAAGCCATTCTGGCTCCCGACACGGTTGTTGGCTTTCCATGATGTTAACTCTCAGCTACCTTATTAATTTTGTCTGAAACGAACTCACGTTCTTCTGCCAGTTTTACTTTTATTCTGGTATTCGGAATGCTAACGTGTTCATTGCAGATCTCGAATTCTGTAGAAGCTAGCAAGTTCCAACGGCGAAGACTGACTCAACACGCGGGTAGGATTAAGGCTTGTGATAAAGAGGACCAATATGAGGATCTTTGTGAAGAGTTTTCGAGCAGGGTGAATATTAGTAGCTATCTATTCTCAGAGCGAAACCATGCTGAGAGTCATTTAGACCAATATACAAATTCTCCGAAATGGTCATCTAGTGTCTCGAGCTAGTGACTACATTATCTACAGCGTAGAAGCCGCGGCAATTAGTCGTGTCGTTGCCGAGTATGGCCCTTGTATGCACTTGGACATTCCTGCTAGCTCTTGTGCCTGGTTGAGTGACTAAATGAAGTAATTTGATCAACAGCAACTAAACAGAATGCCATCGTGGGTGGCCAGACATCCTGCAAGGACCCTGAAATCAAGGCATTCGAGAATCATCTCCCCTCAGACGTGGATATAGTGTCCTGCCATTCTCTGCACGGCCCCAAAGTGGACACCAAGGATCAACCTCTGGTATTAACCCTTCGTCTAGAATTCTAATCGAGCCCAACTGATGCACCCACCCTAGGTTCTTATTAAACACCGCGCTTCCGATAACTCGTTTAGCAAAGTCGAAACTGTTCTCAAGTGTCTACAGTCCAAGCACGTATACCTTACAGCGAACGAGCATGACCGTATCACAGCGGACACCCAGGCCGTCACACATGCCGCCTTCCTCAGCATGGGCAAGGCATGGCATTCGTCACGGCAATTCCCCTGGGAGGGTGCACGCTATGTTGGCGGGATCGAGAACGTAAAGATTAACCTAACCATGCGCATTTACAGCCAGAAATGGCACGTATATGCAGGTCTCGCAATCCTTAATCCGGAGGCCCGTAAGCAGATCAACCAGTACGCCGAGTCGGTGACGGAGCTCTACAAGCTCATGCTAGGCGGCCACCACGCCGAGCTCCGGGCGCGTGTCCTCCAGGCCAAGGAGAAGGTCTTCGGGTCCGACGACGCATCCGCCAAGTGGGCGGACAAGCCGCTGCTCCGCGATGCCGTGCTCGACCAGTTCAGCGTCGGCCCCCGCGCCGCCGATCTGGCGCCCCTGCCTAACAACCACCTCAGCCTGCTCGCCATGGTCGACTGCTGGAGCGCGCTCGGCATCGTGCCGTACGACCACATGATCTGCAGCACGCCGCTTTTCCGACTCTGGCTCGGCGTCACGGAGAACCTGTTCCGCAACCCGGCGCGTCTCGACGAAGCGCTGCGCGTCGCTGTAGAGGACAGCACTTTCCGCAGCGAGGATCTCGAGTTCACGTTCGCGGCGCGCGGATGGGCCGAGTGCGTTGGGCTCGGGCACTTCGAGACCTGGAAGGAGAGGTTCATTGACACACAGCGCTTTTTCGAGCCCCGGTTTGCCGAGGCCGTTGAAGTCGGGAATGCCATGGTGAAGGTATTGGCGAGCACCAAGTAATGAACTGAACGGATCGTTTACATGAATGGGCTTATGACAGGGAAAGGGTTTAGAGCCTTAGGGATAATATAGGTTGGCAATGGCACAAATTCTAGCCCGCAAGCTCTGCTAAGTGTATTATAATAGATACGGGTGTAAACCATGACCATGATGAACGAGGTTGGCGTATATATTTAGACTGTGCCGTCATGCCATTTGAATTGCAGTTGGTACACGCACGCGTGTTCATATCCATCATAACTATTAGCTTCAGCCATTTTATAACATAATTACTACTAACGATTATTATTTAGCCGTGATCATTCATTTTAGCATCATATTGCTAATGCGATACACCCAGTGGATACAAATTGGGTTAGGAAAGGGGGTATAATGAAGTGTTAGCTGCAATGTATAGCAGTTTGTCAAAGGTCTTCAACGTAGCGCGGGGGTTTTGAGGTTTTGGCTCCCTCGTCTGGGCACCGATTCCTGCACAAGAAAAAATAGACACATGTGTACCGGTTCACCGCTGATCGACAAACAATCACGGCCCCAAAAGCTCGTCGGCAATGGCTCGTCCCGCGACACGCCCGGAGAAGATACAGCCACCGAGGAAAGTTCCTTCCAAGGAATTGTAACCATGCACGCCGCCACCGCCGAATCCAGCAGCCTCCCCAGCGGCGTACAACCCATCAAATGTTGTGCCATCAGCTTTCATCACGTTACTCTGCAGGTTTGTCTCCAGGCCACCCAGCGTCTTCCTTGTGAGCAGGTTCATGCGGACGGCAATAAGGGGCCCGTACTTCTTGTCAAGAAGACGATGGAGAGGGGCAATGCGACTACGGCTATCAGGCCAGTAATTCCGTCCGTTGCGAATGAGCATGATCTGAGCATCCTTGCAGTAGTTGTTCTCGACCTGGCCGTCGCGCATCTCGACAGTCTCGCGTACACTCTCGTAGTCGAGCTCGGGCCCACCAACGGACTTTGCCAGCTCGTTCATGGCTTCGACGAGCTCGGGGAGACTATCGCGCGTGACGAAGTCCTTGCCGTGCTTCACGAAGTTCTGCACGGGAACTGTTCCATTGGAGCTGAAGACGCGGCTCATGAGGAGCTGCCAGAAGCTCTTATTGGTAAGGTCTGGGTTCTGCTCAGATCCGGAGAGCGCAAACTCCCGCGCGATTATGGAACGGGTGAGGATGAACCATGTGTAGTCGTAGCCTGTACTGCAGATGTACTTGAGCGTGGCGAGCGTGTCACATCCTGGGTAAAGGTATGGAGGTAGTCTTTTCCCTGTTGCGTCTAGCCAGAGGGAGGATGGCGCTGGTAGGACGCGGATACCGTGACCGGGCCAGATTGGATTCCAGTTCTGCAGTCCCTCTGTATAATGCCACACTGTAACATTCAGGGTCAGTAATACTTATCTTTTTAAACGGTATAGACGATACCAAGAACTAAGGAGATGCATGAGGCTCCTGGGATAGAAAAGTATCCTCCGTGGCAGTTTTTGTGCCCCCCGGATAAATAGCTAGAAAAAGAGAATAGCGCCGAGAGTCACTTACTTCGGTCTCTGTTGACGATATGTGCGCCGGCTGACTCGGCAATATCTATCATGCGGCCATCAACATGAGCAGGCACGCCAATCACGAAGTTCTCGGGCACCTTAGGACCCAGGCGATCTACCGGCCAAGCCTTCTTGACGGCCTCGACGTTTCCACCTATGCCGCCACTTGATATTACGACGGCGGGCCCGTGTAATTCGAACTCATCAATGACCTTTCGCGATGACTTGACACCCCTCTCTACGGGATCTTGCTCAAGCACTCGTCCACGTACCCCAGTAGCTCTGCCGTTTTCGTCGACGAGTATTTCGTCCACCATGTGCCTAAACCTGAATTCCACTAGCCCTTTCTTCGCCGCCTCGCACACGGGCTCGGCGAACACGCGCACAACTTCCGGCCCAGCCCCCCAGGTAATGTGGAATCGAGGCACAGAGTTGCCATGGCCATCCGCACGACCGTCCCCGCGCTCCGCCCAGCCAACGTTTATGACAAATCCAATGCCGCGGGCCTTGACGTAGGTCTCCATCTCGTCAGCGGCGAAGTTCACGAAAGCGTCTGCCCATTTCCGGGGCCAATGGTCCTCTTCCTCCCGGTCGAAGCGGGCGGAGCCAAACCAGTCTCTCATAGCCAATTCGCGGCTATCCTTTATCCCCATGCGGCGCTGCTCCGAGGAATTGACGCAGAAGATGCCGCCGAGCGACCAAAACGCCTGCCCGCCCAGGTTTTGCTCGCCTTCCTGGTCGACAAGCACCACGGGCACGTTTCGCTGCGTGAGTTCAAAGGCGGCGACGAGCCCGGCAAGTCCGGCGCCCACGATGATGACAGGCTGCAACGCCTTGGTCGAAGGCTCCGCTGCCGGCATTTTGGTACAAGCGGTGAGGCGCTTTGCAAATACGAAGCCTGTTAATACTCTCCGAGCTTCTAGCTACTGATATCAGCGTGCTGGGACCATAAGCTAGAGCCTGCACTGACTCTAGCTAGTCTTGAGACTCAGCAGATACACTGCAACGTGTTTGCATGGAGAAGTTTTATGAATGCTGACAAGACACGGCCAATTTCGACAGTGGTTCGATATCATAAAGATGGCGTACGAAGTAGCATTGGATCGTCTCATTACGCATCACCTGTATCTGGGCCGAGGTTGCCCCACATTCCAGGCAAGGTGCCTTGTAGGATTCTATATGTACAGCGTGTTGTTACATCTCTCACCGACACTTCTCCCTATATACGTAGTACTTATATAGATATATGTTCTTAATTCTACTACTGTCATAAGATGAACTGAAGAATTATGCAAATTGCTGTTTGTCGTCTTTACTTATGACGACAGGTTACCGGATCCTGGCACATACTGAGGAAGAGGTTAAACTTGGGGGCGACTGAGCCCTTGTGTCAGGAGTGCGATTCAGCTAACCAATGCGTTTCTAAATTCCTTTTGGTCTGACCCCGGGGAGAGCCGATGGTTTTTCTTCAGTGAGTAATTTGGGTGGGCTTTAATTCATAACGAACTATGGAAGCAATTCGCCTGAACGATGGCGATGGCCGGGGGTTTTGCGGGGTAAAGGAGTATCCCCCTGCTATGAAAATGAATCATGTGAGCGGATTTACATATCGGGCCTCGTATTTGGAACTGGGAGTAAGATGAAAAGCCCGGGGAAGACGGACGGCGGCGGTGATTAAAGCGAGATCATTAGGTATGAGAGCTTTGAGGTTTTGACACAGCGCGGTAAAAGATCAGAGGTATCAGAAATTGATTCTCATACCGTTCATTCCCAGACATGTCCGACGTGAAGTACGATTAAACAATGGTGACAAGATGTGATAGAGGGCTGTATAAAATCCAAGCATTCTAGGTGCACCGGTGAACAGAGACAAAAAACCCAAATTTGTATGCTCATACTAACTGCATAGATAACCGTGTAACATGCTAAATTGCATCCTTTCAGTAACCTCTCTTCCTGCTAACCTGATTGATGAAGTCTGTTCTGCCCTCACTCAGCTTCTCGAGGTTCACATCAAGAATAGCCAGCAAACGCGCGATATAGTTCTTCGAGTTTCCACTCACATGCGGCGTTATAATCACGTTGTTCATGGCCCAAAGCGGGTGGTGCTTGGGTAATGGTTCGGGATCCGTAACGTCCAGGGCGGCGCCCCGGAGCCAGCCCTCGTTGAGCGCAGCGACTAGGTCATCCGTCACAATGGTAGGGCCGCGGCCGATATTCGAGACGTACGTCTTCTTTCCCGCTAGCAGCTTGAACTGCGCCGCGCCGAGCATGCCCCGCGTCTCGGGCGTAAGCGGCACAGCGACAACGAGCAGGTCTAGCCCGCTGCTGAGAAAGTCGCCGAGCTCGGCGGGTGTGGTCCCCGAGAACCACCTCGAGGGAAGGGTGCCCTCGGGATCTCCTAGTCCTGGCGGATGCCACGAATGGTCGCGTCGTGAATCCGGAGTCGGCCTGGGCCGGTTTGTGTATGCGTAAACCTCCATACCCATCGCAGTTGCTACGCGCGCCACCTGTCGACCTATGCTACCGTATCCAAGGATGCCGCTACATACGTGTGAATCGAGTTAGTTATTCAGATAGCAAATGTCCAATATTGAGGGTTTTGCGTGAGGCATAGCGTGTGAGAAGACAAGATTGCTTACACTCTTTGGGTAACCACATCCGTTATCTCCATTGGGCCGTTTCTACGCTCCCAGTGGCCATCTCTCATGTTGTCAAGGTAATGCGGGACTAGTTCACGCATTAAAGACGCCCCGAGTTAGAAAATATTAGATGATCTCTGAAGCTCGCCGCTGTATCAAGAGAGCATGAGACTCACTGCGATGTTGGTAGGCAAGATAGGTACCTATCACCCATTCGGCGATGGGCGGTCTGGCGCAACATTGGTCAGTCTTGATCTATGATGTAGGATATGTGCGAGTTCTCTTTATCTCTCTCTTTCTCCCCCTTTATATGTTGGTCTCAGCACGCTCGCCACTTCGAAACCCACTACGGCCTCCAAAAGGAGGACTAATAACTGCCCCTCAGCAAGCTCGAAGTAAATAGAGAGACGGCCACAGACGAATGTGGTCAAATCTTAAATCTTACCCCGCGACGCCGTTCGCCGTACAAAAAGGGATCTTCGTGTCCTTGAACAGCGGGTTTTCAAGGACGTAGTTAGCACCAGCACTCTGAAGGTGTACCAGCTGCAATTTGGGTGCCTCGGCTATAGTGGGAAGTCGTGGTCCCGTAAGGACAATCGTCACTTTGGCCCAATCCTCATCCGTCAAGCCTGGAATGCGAGCACTTGTATTTCGCCATGGGTCGAAGTGCGAGTGCACTATTTCAAGTCCCGGGTATTTGTTACGCAGGTGCTTGTCGTATTCGTCCGGTAAGTCTTCATTCGTAATTATCAGCAGTGTATGCCCCTCGAGGTCCTTGTTTGGGGCCACGACGGCGGTATCTGGAATGAATTCTCCCATTTCTCTTCTTTAGTTTCTTCCCGGCCTTCCTTTCTGGTGCGCAAAGCAAAGCAAGTCCCGGCGGGGATTGGTATTAGTCATGAACACTGGTGTAGTAACTAGGTAGTTATATCTATTCCTCATTCTCTACTTTACAATTGTTCCGTGTCACAGATTAGGAGATATGTAATTTAGGCTTAGGCAGCCAATAGCGGTTACGGGTCGCTCGTCACCAAGTGACAGGCATATATGACGACATCGGATGCCTCGGTATATGGTGCGGTTCATTACCACTAGGTAGCTGTCCACTTTTGTAGCGTCCAGGATTACTGTGCGGTAAATATACGTCGGTAGACGTTCACTGGTGCAACTTTCACACACATTAACCAAGCCTCTCCGTCTTTTTCTCCTGCTTTTGGGGGATGGCTTCGATTTACACCTAGAAAATGATCCCTAGTATAGTAGTAGTTAGGTTGTCACCAAGTTGGACATCAGCGGCTCAAGTAACATTTCCGGAGCATCGGGCACAATCGAAGGGGACGGTGAATGTTTTTGGTTTTAGTGAGGTGTTCATTTGATTAAACGACTCAACACGCATCAGCGACATGTTACCATGTCTCACCCCGAACTCTGAATGGCAGGCTGGCTCGAAGCGACAGTGGAAAACTACTCGAAAGAAGACAAGGCAACACAAAATGCGACGAGACATGGCACGGCAAGCATCATTGAAGAACATTCAGCTGGGTAGTAATACGTGTCACTTCCCAGGGTCAATTGCATTCAAATCACCGGGGATTGGTAATCATTACTTTAGTAGAAGGCCGTCTCTGGCCCTGGCATTGTCCCAGTATCACCGAGCCATCTCAGAAGTTCGCCCAGAGGTATTTCTGACCTGCCCATGACTCTTCGCCGGATGGAATAATCTGGTTGGCGGGGAGAGTAAAGCCGTTCGAACCAGTATCTCGTAGTTCGATTGCCCAGCTGTCATGAGTCCTATTAGTTAGCCATCCTCGTTGCTTTCTATCCCAGTGAGAGAGTTGGGACTTACGCAAACTCTGCCGGAGTCACGTCGGTAAAGTAGTCATTGCTACCACCGTTGGTAGCATACAGTGTAGAACACGTTTGTCCCGCTGTGAATCGAGTCCCATGGACTGCCGCGATTGCTGATCGTACACCGCTCGCCAGAGTATTCTGCTTGGACTGGTTGGGTGCTTGCGCCGAACAGGAGAAACCGTAGGGCCTGGAATATCACGTTAGAGTGTGCGTCCAACAGGTCCCCTGCAACTAACGACATACAGTAGGATATATTGACCGTAGCTGTGCCAGTCGATGTATAACTTGATACCCTTTCCAGCTCCAAGCTTATCTCCATATGCTTGAATCATTCATCAGTACTCATTGTAAGCTATGTATTGGAGAGGCAAATTCTTACTGCGGATTCCAGTGTTCTCGGGGGTATCTCCTGGTGCTGCTCCACGATAGCTGTGTCTTTATTTAGTAATTCGCCATGCCTCCATGTCAAGGTTTTGTAGAGGGTAGCATTTGTTACTCATTTGATGATTACGTGTAAGGTATTTGGCTAAGTAGAGATGACTTACGTCTCTAGTATTTTCGATTAGCGATGTCCATTTGATGTCCCGAAGATCAGCAGTTAAGAGACAGGCGACATAATCGGAGGAAATAACTAACCTGAACCCGGGCTTGACGAGGAACCTGAACCTTGCCATTGATACTGTATCACAACAAGATTAGCCATCGCTTATTTGTAAGTAGCCAAAGCTTCTTTGACCAGCAGAGGGGTAAATGTGCGACAGCAGAGTGCACTTACAGGCCAGTTTCGGTTTATATCAGTTCCCACTGCAGAGGTACCTGAACGCGTCTGCCGATTCTTACGCCATAGTCGAGTTGTGGTTTGTGTGTATACGAAACCTATTCAACCCTGATTAGAATGGTTGCCGAGTATGCTATTGAAGATGTCAGTTAGTCTCACCATCTGGGTTGACGATCGGCAAGATGTAAAAGTCGTAGTTGTCCAAGACAGCCTTAATGGCAGTGTCATTGCTGTAGTTGTTGATGAGCTGATAGGTAATGTATTCGACAGTCTGTGTCTAACATTAGGGCATGATACTGAGATGGAAGGAGATTGAACTAGCCATTGAAGTAACCCATTCTCTAGCGTGGACGTTGCCATGATAATAGATGGCTGGCTTAGAGCCTTTACCACCGCTGCCCCAAAGGTGGATGCCTTGGATCGTTCTCCCCTCAAAAGAGGTGCCAGCAGTGATCAATTCGGAGTTGGATGGGAATGCAGCTTGCAAGCTTCTCAAAAACGTCAAGTGGTCTGCATACGGGTGGTAGGCACTGAACCACGAGAAGCTTGGAAGAGCAGCGGCAGCACCGACATTGGCGGTTGACACGGTTGACTCTAAGCCTTTTGTCTCGGTCAGTTCGCACCGTATAAACAACAAAAGACACTCAGTAGACTGACCTGGAAATGGTTCTAATTCCCCTTCTAGGGCAATTTCTGCCCCGAGATCTTCTGTCAGCGTCTCAACCTCATAGTTGAGGGCGTCAAATGCATCGAGACTCTCGGGGGGGACGGCTATATCGAAATGGTGCGTATCCAGATGGCCATGATTACGGGATAGTTCGATGGCAGACAAAGAATGAAGCTGAGCCTCGAACTCTGCTGGGTCACCATCGGTTATGACGCGGAAGACCCTGTAGCCATCGTATACCTCCCTGCCCCGTCTGTCAACTTGCACGCCAGCAACCAGGGGCGCAACGAATAGAGCTGCGCGAAAGAACTTCATGTTGTCGAATGTGCTGGGGTGGCAGGAGAGATGGTAAAGGAGCCGACGATTACGACATATCCAGCCAGATATCTCGTCCTGTACGACGACCTCTTATACTCCAGGTGTCGTTCGCCCATCCGCGCCCGTTGAAGTGACCTTCATATGGTAGGACTCCTCCCACATACCCAATCGGGTAGGTCCGTCCCACAGTCCATTGTAGATCATGCGTGATAAGCAGATCTACAACCCCTCTGCCGTGCCCGCGGGACATATTGTTTGTGCATGGTGCTCTCCATAAGCTTGCCGGGCTATCTGGAGTGACGGAAAACCTATCCACCTGTCTGACCGTGCACATCCTATAATATGTCTTCCATGATATATGTATGCTGCCGGCCCCTGCAAAAGTGAGTCTGGAGTGGAATCAATGAGTAGATGCATTACTAGGCGATGGTGCGTGAGACGTAGGAAATATTTACCTAGCACACGAGGTCAAGCTTAGTCGAGTGCACCATCTCGGTAATGAATGGCGTCGTAGTTAGATATAGTGAGTGTACCTGGGTAATGTTGTTGATTTTGAGAGGCCATTCTACATGTCCTGCCCCCATCAAGATGCTTGTCGCATCATGCAATACGATGGCTGAATAAGCTGCTTTAGAAGAGCCTTTACTAACTTAGGTAACACATGCGGTGTCTGGCTTCGACTTGGCGATGAGCATCACCACGAAGCGTGGCTTCAACAGGCAGTTCGAAATAATGTTGCATCATAGCCCAGCTGCGCGAGCTTCCCCAATGGGCGTAAGGCGATCTAGATGCTCTCCGACCTGGCGCTCTCCCATAACATCATCCTATGCCTTGCTAATGTGCCACTGCTACCTACCTATGTGGTATGTAGCAGCTTCCCTCTATAGATATGTCTACCGTGGATATAATAGGCGTCTAATAGGCGTCGTTGGCTATTGCACTATACTATGTAAGATGATTGTCTAGATAATTGTCTAGGCACCGAGTGTAAGTAGAGCCAATCCCATTAGTAGCACTTCAGAGTTGCTGGATGAGGAAAGGATCCTGTCGGATGACGAAGGCTCGTTTGATGTTTTCGACAGTTGTACAATAGGCAGGTTAGGTTGTATTATTCTTATCTCTCTCTCTTCTACTCGCGACGAAGATAGGGGTGCCTTGACAAGCTTGCTTCACTTCTCCCTGCGCGAAGGATAGCAGCCGTTAAGGTGTATGAAACATGCTACTCTGTGCTACTCAGTAGTATTTAATACCTAACTTTGCAGTCTGTCCATACTTGGGATGACAGGTAGAGCGGAGCGCAACGCTTGTTTCGAACCCATAAATCCCAGACGGCCCTGACATTCCAGGTGGTCATCAACCTCCACAGTAATTTAGGTAATGACATAATAACGGCTACCACATAGGTCCCCTTGAAGAGAGTCTTCTTTAGCTAGATAATTCAGGGCTAGAGTGTCTTGCCGTCATTGTGAAAGGTAGGAGGTTATACGGTACCGAATGCAGGCGAACACGAATATGCATCAGGGCAGACTCATTCGCAGGCCGAGATCGATGAGAGAAGAAAAGGTGGCTAGTCGCCTATGACTACTGTAAGGGTCCGCCAATACGCGCTGCCTTTTGTGCACGCAGCTTGGCAAAGGCTTCGGACATCGTAGCGTAACCACTAGATACTCCCTCCACCTCCACGTCCACCTCCCATCTCCATCTCCATTTGACTCTTGTCAAGTCGCGACGTCGAAATCAAGGATCTAGGTACAGATCCTGGGTTGGTGCTCTACATTACATACTTACATACTTAAGTATTATGTAGACCAGGGAGTTTATCGTACCTGGGTAGAGACGAATGGCAGTGATCCGTCACATGGATTCTCACGGTTGAGCGTCTGCGCCAATCCGAAATCGACAGGTGCGTGGCCGACAGGGCGCAGGCCGCAACAAATACTGTTTCATGAGCCCCAAAGGTACGCGCCAACCTGGTCAACGGACTTGTTTGAAACGCCTTCATTCGAACTCGTCTTTAGCGCCTCGCTTCTCTCACTGACATTCGTACCTTTATCGCTAGACTAATCTCGAGCTATGAAGGGGTTTCGCCAATTATGTCGTCGTGAAACTTTTGTGCAAACAGCTCACCTGCTTTCAGGCTCGACGGCGGCGCTTTTCAGGGGCTGAGGGAGTAGCCCCCAAATGCAGGTACAAATGTCCAGGCCCTGAATGCATTCGAGAAGAGGTTTCACGATGATACCTAAAATGAGTCCATCTCGACTCTTTGCACCCTTTTGCTGCGTGAAGCTTCCCTTCTTTCTATCGCCTCTCGTTCTCGCTTCCGCCGGTCGGGATTTTCGTTCTCTTATCTTCATCGACCCTCATTTGTGCGCGCCTCATCATCTTCGTCATCAAGTCATTCTTTAGCGCTTTCTCTCCTTGATATTCGCGATACACCTCTAGACGACGATGAATTTTCTGTGGTTTGCTTCATTGATTCATGTGGCTACACAGTCACCCGTTTTGCTGGACCAGTCTCGCCGAACGGTCGCACAGCTAGACCAGTCAGCCTTCGATGAGGCGCAGCAGCCCGATACCAGTGCGACCAAGGCGTTTGCGAGTACTCTTATCAAGGTGGGTAGTCGATGATAGGGCTAAGGATATTCGCGAACTAAACTAATTGTCCTCGGCAGACGGCAGATGATCGATGTTTATTTGTCGACGAGCTTTCAGGGGATTTCAGAGCAAATCTCACCCCAGTTCAAATCGCCGAATGTGGCTCTACAGACGGACAAGAATGGGACATCATAACTAACGGAAAACACAACAATGTGCCCAACTCGATACTCGTCGTCAGCACTCTGACCAATGCTTGTCTCAACTTCGACCCAAGGCGACCTGCTGGGAACCAAGTTATTCTGTTTAGCTGCGGAGGACGAGCCGACGGTGGTGGCGACGTGACCGATTCTCAGTTGTTCCCTTTCAATGGTGGCGCCGGCCCTCTGTCCTTATCGCCAGAGAACGATCTCAACTCGTGCCTCACTGTCTCGGATGAGGTCATTGATGTAGCCCCATGCCAAGCTGGCGACCTGCATCAGCTCTTCAATTTTGGTGATAGCTTGTCCCTCGAGCCCAATTCTACTTCTACTGGTGTGGTGAACACTCCCGCTCCCACCTCTACATCAACCAACCCTACTTCAACAAGCCTGGGTCAAGACACCGTGACAGCCACCACCAATGGTGGCAGCGCAACAGTAACTTCCGCACCGACAAGCAGCGCCAGCGTTGGAGGGATAGCCAATCCTACAGAAGCTGTTCCCGTATCAGGTGCAGGAGGTGTGTTACAACCATCGGCTGTCGCAGAAGCGCATCAGCGCGATGATACCGCAACGCGCGCCTTCGAATCTATCAGCATTCAGTCGTCTGACGGACGTTGTCTTTTCGTTGACCCGACTGCGGGGGATTTCCGTGAAAATCTCATCCCAGTGTCTCTGGTGCAATGCGCTGGCACACCCAATGAGAAGTTTGATGTCATTACTGCTGGAAAGCACAACAATGAAGATGCTTCTGCGCTTATCGTCAGCAGCTTGGTAAGTCTTGCGAACTCTATTAATATGCCATCAAGAACGAGATCTAATGTACGCTTAGATGAATGGGTGCATTAGTTTTGACGGCCGTCGTGAGGCTGGAGATACCGTCACTATTTTCTCTTGCGGGGGTAGGGCAGACGGAGGTTAGTCACACTGTCCCTTGAGCAAAAATGATTCTAATCATGCCTTAGGCGGCGAAACCAACAACGGCCAATTAGTTCCATTTACCGGTGGTACGCAATTCGCTCTCGCACCTGTGAGCGAGCGTAATGCGACATGCATCATCCCGGGAAGCGACCGCCTTGACTCGACACCTTGCACAGATGATGATTCGCAACTCTTCAAAGTAATAACATGATAGGATTACCATTATATTCAATGATGTTCTGGTGAGGCTGGCTTTGGCTGTTCGATTCGAGGCATCATTCCTTTCCTCTTAGTATTTTCACCTTATGTATAAGTACCGGTCAAGGTTTGGACTTATTCCGTATATCAACTAAATGGGTAAGTCACGCGACAGCCCGTCAGTGTACATTATTTTCAGTATTCTCGCGAAAGAAAATACAATAAATTCTGATCTATTTGATGTTATTGTCAGTGCATATAGACTACAAGACGGTATACCGAGACAAGAAGCAGGGGGGACGTTGTTGCTGATTCATCCGACTTTCTATCGTTACAATTGGCAGTGTATGAATGCCAAATTCATAGCGGCTATCTCTCTTGTGACCTTGGGAAACTAGGAAATAAAAATAAAGATTACAATAAAGCCTCCACACCTCGCTTTATCACTATCATTCTGCAGTCTCGAAAGTGCTGTCTAGGTCCAACCATTCTTTAAAGGTCAATATGTCAGGGTAGTCAGCACGTCGTGCCTCGACATCTGCCTTGTATCCATCGCTTGCAAACCATCCGATCATGGTCCGTACCTCGCAAGAAACGAAAGTTAGAGCGCTTCCAAAGAACGAATAGGCCATTGGGGCGGGTTGGCCCGTCACGCTCTCAAATGCTTTACTTAGGTCATCCATGTTCAACTCGTCTCCAGCAAGACCAACCGCTTTGCGATTCCATTTCTGCGTGTCCGTGAACGCTTGGGCGGCGAAATTACCGATGTCCCTAACAGCGATCCATTGCATCGATTTGTCCCCAAGCCAATTACGCAATGATGCCAAGAAGACTCTGGTGGGAACCCCAGGAAAAAGATTGTCCATGAACTAGCGAATCGAACATTAGTAATTGACACATATTCCAAATGCTGAGAAGCACCCAAGTGACTATATAGCTTAACAGGTCTCGCAAGCCTAGGACAAGTGTCTCGCTCTATAGACTACGCGGGGGCAGATTACTTACAGCTACGGGACGCAAGATGGTCCAACCCATGCTTTCTCCTGCTTTTCCTTCTGCAGTAGCCTTACGAAGATGATGTTCAATCTCATATTTCGTCTGAAAGTGCGGGACGGGGGTTCGATTGTCCCAGGACCTATCGTCGCCCCCTCTCTCGACGCTGCTGTATACGAAGTGTTTAACCCCAGCTTTGATCGATTCGTCAATGAGGCCTTCGCCCTGTTTGATCTCCCCCTCAGGGGTGACGCCTTTGCCCAAAGAGACTTGCACCGAGTAAACGCCCCATAGTGGTTGTTCAGCTACCCGCAGGGCTTGCTTGAAAATGGCAGGAATGTCATCGAGATCGCCCTCGACTAGTTTGATGGAACGAGATTTCGAGCGGAGCTTCTGCGCAGCAGGTTGAGAAACATTCCTTGTGACGGCGAGAATAGTAAAGTCCTCAAGCTTTTGGTTAAGCAGGGCTTCAATAACAGCACTGCCCTGCCTTCCCGTGGCGCCTGTGACTAGGATAGCTTTAGACATGATAATTAATGTAACTCACGATGTATGTATGGTGTTTCGTATTGGTATGCTGAAGCAAGATGAGTTGTTGGAGGAAGATTAAATTAGGTGTATAGATAGGGCCGTTTTTGGTGGTATCGTCGTGGCAACGTCATCAATACTAAAGGCGCATCGAGCAGCATGGTGAGTGAACTCAATCTTGAAGATCGGATCCGATAAAATTCCGATCTGCATACCGCATTTGTACAGAAAGCTTTGAGTCGGAAGCCGGATTCCAGCAACCCGTATGACCGCGCAGATCTCTATATGAAGTTCGTATCATGGCCTAGATCGATGGTATGCGCTTCGATGCCCCAGGAGAACCAGCGATTGATGAAATACTTTTCTGTCTCATTACTGTGCTCGTATTTCATGCATGATGGAGGTTTCTAAACAGCAGCGTATGCAAACAATTGATGCTCTTCTCAATGGGTATAGCAGCCTCTCAGTTGCGAAGCTTCTCGAGCCGCTTGCACCCGACTTCCACCATCAGGTCTTCCCAGAGAGTTTAGGCATGCCGATCCGCAACAAAGATTCTTTTGCAGAGCACGCAGCGGGGATTTTTGACACGTTTGAAGAGTTCAGAATGACCCCAAGGACTATCATCGACGATGCCACCGCGGGTCTCATCGCAATCGACGCGGAGATGCTCGGCACCTTGAAAGGGAGCAAACAGGAATGGAATAATGAGTGCATCATGATAGTTCGTCTGACAGAAGATGACTGTCAGGTTCTCGAGGTCCGAGAGTTCGTTGACAGCGCAAAGGCGGTGGAAATGGCACAGACACATGCGCCCAAGGACTTTGGCACCAAGACCAGTGGCAACTTGAATATCGAGGAGCAAGGCCTCTTTGACCTAGTCTCATTGATTTACGTCGGCACAGCGGTAATTGCTTGCTTCAGTCTATACCGAATGTTGTATAAGTGAAGGTGTGTTATATGTACATTGTTCAGAGAAATTGCCCACACGATCAGCACTTTATTCTAGTCGAACAACACGACTTAATCAAATATCATATTATAAACCAACTACTATGTCATCTCTTATAAGATCGCGTGATACATAACTTGAACTGAGTTATTACCTTGGGCTTCGCTATGTTGCCAGGACTATCCCCTTTCCCCACTGAAAGAATTTGTGCTTAAAAAAGGATGTTAAGGGACAAATGACATATCCTGTAATCTGTGCTCATCCGTCCGCAAAAGCCATAGGTATATGTTGGTATATTCCAAAACTATTATCGTACTCTTCACCCTCTCAGGACCTGCGAGAGTGCCAGTGTGCCAGCGATTACTGGCGTAAGGAGGCGCACGGTATTGAACTTGATCCATTTGCGAGCATAGCTCTCTGCCATTCTTGTGTCGACATGCCCCTTAGGTTCCTTAAGGCCGTCGAGCTTTTCGTTGATGGGCTGCATATTTATGGCTGAGTGCACCACGGTGATGAGATGGCACAAGGCTGAGATAGCATATACTCTCCAGTCTCCGAGGCTACTGCTTGGCTCCTGAGCTGAAGCAGCCCATGCGGTATACCCGTATCCAAAGATACCCAGGGTGCTGATGGGCCGGAAGAAAACGTTGCCCACCTTCCAAAAAGTCGGCCACTGCCTTCCGAGTAAGCGCGCTCTTGCGGCATGATCGGGAGAAGATGGCGGTGGGAAATCCACAAGTAAAGCCGGGACGCCCATGAATGATTGGGTGATCGCATTTCCTATTCGATGAGAATCAGTAATACTGTTATGTATCCGCGGCCAGCAATGTTCCCGCGCACTCACCAAACAGGATGAAAGAGCATGCAACAGTGGTCCCAACCACAATCTCGGGTGCAACAGCCATTCCAGCGATATTTTGGCCTCTATCCAATGCTTATCGACAGGCGCAAGTATGAACAGAGATGTGTTATTTTTTTTTTGGATATTCTCAAAGGTTCAAGATGCTCACTGGTCATAAATGGAGCGAGCTAATCCTGCTCAGCCCTCTCTAAAGGCCGGCTGCTGCTCTGGCGTCATATCACATGTAGTTTTACGACAGGTTGGCCTGCTTGAACTCACTATAATGGTTCAAGCTTACGACTAAGCACTGAGCGTAAAGACGGCACGGAATACGGCGCAAATTTTGGCTTCGTTTTTCCATCTCGCGGTAACTTTCGATGAAAGTTTAACCGTTAAATGCCCTGTTTTGAGATATGCCTGAAGCACATGCATGTCAGCAACTAGCTCTACAGTGGCAGCCAGAACAGACCTCGCTCTTGCAGCTTGCAGTATACCTTCAACTTAAATACTCGGGGTTTGATGTATACTAAGTTAGTCTGGTCTCAAGGTGATGTGGTGTACTTAGGTGCTAATAATTGAGTCGGCTAGAGACTATTGCGTACTACACCTAGTATCAGGGTCATCTCATACTGAGCTTCTCCAACGTGTCATTTGTATCATCGCCATATATTCGTGCATCTATATTGGCAAACTTAGGAAACAGTTATATGACTGTCGATCTGCTTTATTATACACCTGTGCGAAGTTTGAAGAGAGTAAGAACTGATTTTGGCATGCTTTAGAAATTGAAGTATATATAGACTCAATACAGGGGAATCAGCATCGCCTTCACCCAAAGGTGTTGGCTCCGTACTATACCTCTAACTAAACAGATATTCAGACTATAAACTGATGAACCACAGCATCCCCTGATAACAGCGGGAAGTGTCGAAACTGACCATGTAGACTAAAGGTCACGCCTGATAGTCGCTGCTAGACTTGAGCTGCGTCGGTTTATCCCATGCCTTAATTATCTGCTCACCCCCACTCCGTTATATGCCCACGCTGCTCCTTATTAAACCTTGCACATCTATCTGATATTACTGTATGATATTTGATCGAAGTGACGTCTTATTTCTCCGGCATCGTCGCGGCACGTTGAGCGAACTCGTACCTTTCACGCTTGTCTCGTGCTTTTGACTCTTCCCATAATCGTAGAGCCTCCTGTTTTCGTCCCTTGCTTCTCGGCTCAAATTCCATCTGGAAAGGGTCGGGCTTGATAATAAGCAACGAGTTGGACTTATCCGCAGGTACTGGTACGTCGCAGCCTGTGACCGGATCTTTCTTTGGCTTGAGATTGAAACACCAGCTCAGTGCACCACAGGCCACGATGAGCTCATCTTGGGTCAAGGTTTGCCCCAAGCATTGTCGTTGGCCCCAGCCAAACGAACTCATGCCCTTGATAGTTGGGAATTGCGTGAGCGGCTCCTGATAAGTAGGCCAGCCGGGTTCGAGCCATCTTTCAGGTCGAAAATTATCAGGATCTGGGTACTTCAGAGGGTTCCGGAGAAATGCCCTGTACTGTTAGCGAAGAAGATAATATGTTAGGATCAGGGATCATCCTGAGACTTACCAGTCAAGTGGAAGAATCCGTGTTCCTTTTGCCAAATAGTAATCTCGATATACGTCATCAGCTTCCATTTCATGGGCAACGCCTACCGTCGGTCAGTCTCACGATTCACGACCCTCATATCTTCGGGTTCGCTTACCGGTTGGCACATTAGGCCGCCATCTCATGGTCTCTTTGATGCATGCTCTCAATATCGGTAAATTAGGTACGTCATCAAGGGTTGGCATTTGACCCTGGCATTTGTGGTCGATTTCCCTTTGGACAATGCTTTGCCACATGGGATGATGCACCATGGAGACAAGCCAGTAAGAGAGAGGACCAGCCACAGTGAATATGCCAACGAGGGCTATCATACCAATTACACAAGATGCCTCGTAGTCGCCAGAGAGACTTGAGCGCTTTTCGACCCTCTCTAGGTATTGCCTAGTGAAGCAAGGTCTCTGCTGGCCGAGCTCCATCTTCTTACGGGTTTCGACGAGTCGTTTCATCCACCATTCCCGTTGTTCACCATGGCGTTTGCGTTCTGCTATTTTCCACGGGTTTATGATCTCTGGCAAATGCCACAATGGCGTCAAAACGTTTGTGATAGGACCGGCTGGCGACATCTGGGTTAGTAACCCCCATGCACTTTTGGTGCAATACTCGCTGAGGCTCGGATCATCCCATGTCAACTGGCACATGACTTTGGATGCCATATCCTCCAAGCTGTATTGGAAATCGTCAGGTCGTTCAATCAATCTTACGAGCCATCTTTTGGCCTCATGGTACATGACGCCGTGATAATGGGCATTGCTCGCTTCAGTTAGATAAGCGTGGGTTAAGCGGCGCTGCCGAGCCCAGTACTCTGTGATCAATCATTAGCGAGAATGTTTAAGAATTATTTGGGCTTCTTACGGTTCTTTCCCATGAGTGGTAAATATTCCATGGAGCCATGAGTACTCTTAGAATCAACAATTGATCTTATCTCTGGCCGGTCAGAGTTGTACTTTGCTCTCCTGACCATGAGTTCTTCTGCTACAGACTCATCTGTCACGACTAATATTGCGGTACCGAGTATGTCAATCATATAGAATCCATTTGGTCCACTATCTATATCGCTAATTAGCAAGGCATCTAGAATGCATACATCAAGTAGTACTCAAGGGTGGTCCACGCTGTGATAACAGTTGAGAAAAAGAATATATACAGGACTCGTGGCTGGTCATAGACCATGCCATGCGCAAGAGTTCCTGGATTTATACGTACATTGACGAGCCCATTCGTGGAGCTTGATCCACATAAACTTGATCGGGAGGTCATGAATCCGTCCAATATAAGGTAAGAGTGTCGGACCTGGCACTTTCTTGGGGTTATTCATCTGCCTGAATAACGTGTAGAAACGAAATACGCCTATGCTGACAATGGCGGTCCCTAAGGCAATGAGCGTCAAGCGGTGCATTATAGATAACCGGTGAGATCGAACAATAAAGAAGGACAAGAAAACCGGAAAACCGACAACTCCTCAAGATAGTTGATAGACGGTTATGGGTTATCTTTCCAATAATATAAGAGTATGATATATACGTATGGCTTTATCTTATGCTAGCTTACAAGCACGAGCTTTGTAGACGCGTGTAAAATGGGATGACAATCTATCACGAAGGTCCTGGATCCGAGTCTCGTGTTTGATCGTAGCACATTGTATATTTGTTTATCTCCGTAACCATGACATTAGCCCGTACAGTTCCAATCTAGAATGATGATAGGTTACAGAGAGTTCAAGAAAATACACAAATGATCATCGTGTCCTCTGTCATTATGATTCGCAACATTCAAAGGGAAGCGAACAGCTGAGCGTCTACAGGGATTGGGGGATTGCTCATTAAGTCTCGGAAGCTGTTGGTATCCCTCTCATAACGTGGTTGGTCTCGTGGGGACATTACCCTTGATTCATGGTACGCGGTTAGCCAAATGGTACTCGGTGATCTCAGACTCAGTAAGCACCCTTGACATGTAACCCATATCACTTAGCCCTTGCGTCACTTTCGAGTAATTCTACGCGTCAAGCGAAACCAAGAAGATGCTTAACTTAGTTACAGTGCAAGAAACAGAAATATACTACCAGTTGTGCACGTGTTAACTCGAGGAGAAAGCAGCTTGGACACTGGGAATATTGATTCTCGAGGCCGCGTCGTCAATCGGCCCATCTAGGAACTGCATACATATCGAAGGATTTTTTGTTCTTCAAGCAGATGCATGATCGGGTATACTGTCAGTATGATCAAATGACAAGAAATTTGCAAGGAGCATTCTAGAGACGTAGAATCTCGCAAACAACAGGGTTTCCAATCTCCCGTTGGCTGCTCACTGTCCATTACTGCACAAATAGACCTATTGACATGTAAGGGTGATCTCGGGTAATACATATGTTTGTGCGAAACCTAGCAGCTGACGCGCTCGGTGTCACCATGGTATCGAGTCGCGATTAAGGGAGCTATGAACAAGCAGCTCACGCTACCCGTCAAGTGTACATTGATACTACCTAAAGAGCTCCTATAACGTATGGACCGTTTGGCTTCGTAAGCTCAAGGCTCAAGCAGCTGATATTCTTTAGCCGATATATAGGTGCTTCCACCTCTTCATTTCCTATTACATCTCCTATCTTCCTGTACAACCATTTTCTTGGACTTCAATACGTTTTGAAAGCAATATGGGTTCCATCCAAACAACCGCCGAATGCAGACCCGTAGGGTCATATTCTCCAACCGGGATCGATGTCTTGATTGTAGGTACGGGTCTTGCTGGCCTAACAGCATCTATTGAATGCATACGCAAAGGTCATAATGTACGCATGCTCGAACGCATGGACGATATCAACACTGCGGGTTTGTATAGATGTCCCTAGATAGCACTCGGCCAATCTCTGACCTATAGATATAGGGGACATGTACTTCATGGGCCATAGTGCCATCCAATTCTTCCGACATTGGCCAGAATTGCTCAAGGAGTATGAGAGTATCTCCATGAGCAATGCGTGGCTACAGACATTCAAACACAGTGGCGAACAAACAATTCCTCCAATGAAAGTATCCGATCGGCTGCGTCGCGCAGGAATGGATCCGAATACGCCCCCTGGAGCTTTTCAGATGAGACCACTTGTTTACAAGATGTTCGTCCGCCAAGTACAAAAGCTCGGCGTTAAGATAGACTTTGGTAAAAAGGTAGTTGACTACCATGAAGATGAATCACGCCAGAAAGCAGTCGCTGTGACAGAACAAGGAGAGTCTTTTGAGGCGGACGTTGTAATTGCTGCAGATGGTGTTGGCTCCAAGAGTCAGAAACTTGTAGGTGGACAGGTGAGAGCAAGGAGCTCTGGTAGAGCCATGTGGAGAGCCGCTTTTTCTTCAGACCACCTCGACAAGAGCTCCGAAGTCAAAGAGTTCTTTGCGGGGATGGGAGGAGAGAATAAGGACGAGCCGATCATTAGAACATTCCTAGGGTGGGTTCTCCGTATTTCTATGGCGAGTTTTGAACTGACGTTGGCTTTCTCTAGGCCCGGTACCTATGCATTGACTCTGACTCGACCCGGAACTTTCATTTGGATAATGAATCACGATGTAAGACTTTCTAAAACTATGCACTACACGCTGATATTGACGGTAAACAGGTGACAGGATCGGAAGAAGAAAGCTGGACTCACACAGTTGAATCAGACGAAGTGCTCCATAACATGGATAAGGGGGTTGGCCCAGTGCCCTGGGCGCCGGTTTTCAAAGAATTGGTCAAAGTGACCCCTCCTCAGACGATTCTCAACTTTGAACTCTTCTGGCGCAATCCACAACCTTCCTGGTGCTCGCCCGGCGGCCGGGTGGTCCAGATTGGTGATGCTGCACATTCTTTTCTACCAGCGTCGGGCAACGGTGCCACTCAAGCCATTGAAGACGCCGTATCCCTTGCATCTTGTCTTCAAATCGGTGGCAAGGAGAACATTCCGCTGTCTGTCAGAACCCATATTCGATTCCGCTTTGTTCGGTGTGCCTGTGCACAGAAACTAGGCTTCTCCAACGCTGAGCTGCTTCAAGATACGGACTGGAACAAGGTAAAATTGGATCCAAAACGCGCGCAGCCAAAGCTTCCTAGCTGGATCTGGAAACACGACCCGGAGAAGTACGCCTACGAGAATTATCATAAAATGGCAGAGACTGTCAAACAAGGAATACCATTTGACCAAGTTGATACCGTTCCTCCCAACTACCCAAAAGGCTATCGATATCAGCCATGGAGCATCGACGATATTATGGAGGACCTCAGAAATGGAAAACCTGTCAATCTCGGAGACGGAGAGTGGGATTAACTTTGCTATCCCGAACATGGCCTATTGTCATAGGGTCATCATCGACTAGCTAGCGTCGAAGTATGTCAAGATCTGAGCATAATGTGCTGAATGGAACAAGATGAACACTAGGGTCTGTTGATTGTCAAGGGTAATAATCAAGAAAGTCCATGGAGAATCTATGAGATGGAAGAGATAGTGATAATATAATATATTACTGGGGAATCGATTAATAACAAGGTTTGTCTTTGCTTCATTAGTTAGTATCTTGGAATTCACAAGGCCTACGTACGCACTTTCATCACATTCATACACAATGACACTGTTGTAGTATGGGAATACAAAACCTCAGATTCAAGTGGAAAGGACAATAATCATGTATGCATTTTATTATGACTAATGCCTGTCTTGATCGATCTACGCATTCTTGACGCCTGGAGCGGCAGCGGCCAAGAGCTTGTCGAAAATGGGGGTCCCAAGGCCAGTAACAGGATCCCATCCCGCAGTGGCATTCCAGCGAGCACCGTTACGACCAAAAGCCGAGTTGCTAAAGCAGCCAGTACCAGCTCCGGTGGTGATATCCGTGAAGGCGTTGGCATTGGAGTAAAGGAAAGGGTTCAGGAATCCCAATGGTGCGAGACCCTGGCTCTTTCGAGCTGCGTTCAGCAAAGCTACCACGCCCGCGAAGACTGGCGAAGAGGCACTGGTGCCGGACAACAGGGCATTCCTACCCTTATCAACAACTGCAAAGGATGCGCCTTGGGTGGCAACATCTGGGAAGCCTCTGTTGGAAGAGTTGAAGTAGCTCGAGTAGGTCTTGCCAATCGATGAGAGATATGAGCTCACGGCGCTGCTCTGCCACGATGGCCGGGCGTGAAGGGTGCTGAAGCCACCGCTGGAGAAACTGACGGCGGCCTCTGGGCTGACACCCCGCGTTGCGCCTACGGACGTTATATAAGGACAAGCACCAGGGAAAGTTGGCTGAAAGTACGGGGCCCTATCGGTCACCCTTACACACGAATCACCTGGGCCCGAGTCACCAGAGGAGAACACTGTTACGCTCGCCGTCAGCCTTCTCCCGCTTTCAATACTTAATGTATCTCGGAAACATGAAGAGCTATGCACTCTCAGGGTAACCGAAACGAAAGAAGCTAGGATCTGGAAATAACTTACAAACGCTCACGCCACGGGCTCCGAGTTGCATGAACATATTGCACACCTTAAGAGCATATTCGGCTGGCACACTCTGCTCCTCTTCGCCGCTATTTACAGGCTAGGGTCAGCGATTATTGACAAGCAGTATCTCGGGGGCCTACAGGAGCAGAGACAGTGGGGATAATGACTTGACGAGACTTACTATGAAGTTGAGAGGGTTTGTGGTAAGGCTGAATCTGGCTGATCCAAGAGATAGGTCAAGAACTCAAGATACGGCTCGTTTGACGACGGGCCAGGTTCATCATCCGTAGGGACTAGAGGGCTAGTGGAGTTTGTCAGCATAAATAATAGTTGAGGGCTTTGAAGTATACTCACCCACGGCCACCCGTGCTATATTCCAAAATAGGGATCGGGGCACTGACGGCTAAGATGTACTGAATATCCAAGTTCGCTTCGCCTGTTATGAACTATTTAGTATCGGGCGGCGCGATAGACGGAGGGGACAGCTATACCGCTATCACTATTGCTGTTCTGATTGTTCAGCCCCCCATTCACGAGCTGAACGCTGAAGTTCTGTCCCGCGGCGCTTGGCAGCCATCTCGACTCGAAGGAAGTCAAATCGTTATATCTGGCATATTCCTCGAGGTAGGAGGCGAAAGAAACCAGATTGCCGCTGGCAGAAGGTGTGTAGTGGATGTTGTACAATGACTTGAGGCAAGCCGGGGTAATCTGGCTGACATTGCAGTCGGCGGCAACGTTGCCTGTCGCTTCGACGTTCGCAACCTTGGCCTGTTCATCGGCAGAATCGAGAATGTGCATATCAAATATGGTAGATTTCCTCGCGCCAAGCTGTCCGAATCGGGTGGTCGGCTGGATCAAGTCCACATATTTTGAAAGCTCATCGGGCACACTGTAGTCTAGCGTTCGAAGCTTCGGGCTGCCGCCTTTCTCATATTGATACCAAGCAAAGGTCGTGTTGAGCAACTCATTGGCCTGCTCCACGGTGGTGGAGAAGGTGATCCAGTCGTTGTTGACGAGAGACTTGATGTTGCTTCCGCTAAGCCAGCTCACAACAGAGGTGACAGCTTCTTCGGTTGGTGCGGTGTATGATCGCAGCTCGAGGCGGCTCAAGTGCTTTCCATAGTTGGGATGCTCTGGCGTTGACATCTCAATTACCGCCTGTTCCAAAGCGGCGGCATGCTGCTGTGGGAGGGCAACTCGGAGCGTAATCGGCTCGTCCAACGCAGCTTCGCGGAGCTGCGTCCACCCTTGGGGAATGGAGGGCAGACTGTCCATTACCCGGGCCGTAGCCGCTGTCGCGAATAGGGCAGTGGCTAGAGACAACATTGCGACAAGAGTCTGGGACACGAACTAGGAATCTTACGACTGGGAGGGCCGAAGACAGCTTCGTGTAGAACTCACATACTCGAGTAGGACGAAAGTCGTCATCTTATAGGCGTGGTGCCCTCCTTTCTTTGTCGTATTCTTTGCATTGATCCGGGAGTCCCTTCGGTTACGGTTGCATCCAAGCAGATCCCCACGGCGCTTAACGACAGCCCCAACCCCTGCCACAACTGTTCACTTGCCGAGTCTGGGCGATCTTCCCGTGTCTTGGATGGGCTAATACGACGGTGTTTATCTACATTAGGCAGGCGGGCCTCGTTGCGGGCTATACTTGAGCGAGATAAGCTTTTGTTGACAAGTTGCTCTACGGAGTCCGTGTGCCTATTCAGAAAATGACTTCTGGAGCTTGAATGAGAGTAGCATCTAGGTATTGTAGATGGTGCCTTTGACATGCTGTTTCATCCTGCCGACTGAGGATGTCCTCACGCTACTGGCACGAGAGCCGTACACCCCCGAACACAGAAATGACCGCGCCAAGCAATTGGTTCCCCGTATTGATATTTCGAGGCCTGAGCTTGGCCAGCGACATTCCCTATTGAGCCGAAAGGTCGTGCAGAGTCGTGGTACCGATACAGTTATTGACGAGGGTAGCCAGGTACTGTCCCATCAATTTCGGCTTGTCAAATCGCAGGCCAACTACGACCCTTGTCCTAAAGTTATCCATGGGTTCTGTGCCTTCCAATTCGAGAAAAAGGCTCGTCCGAGCATTCGCTGAATCACTAGGAACGATCTGAACGATCTGAACGATCTAAGACATACAGTATGGGTATACATACGATCAGGGTAGTATTTCATGCGAGTACCGTGGCTCCTCAGATTCAACACAGCGCAACCCCATTGGCTTTCAAGCTTGTCTCGGATAGAGGAGGGGCAAATATCAACCACATACCACCGTAAATGTAAGTAAATTATGTGCTGAAATCGGCTGATTGGGCAGTCGAATTGAAACATGCGGTGTCAACAACGCTATGGCCACCGAGCAAAGTAACACGCATGCTGTGGCATGTTACAGGCGGGGTAGTCAACTTACGTAGTATTCACCCATGAGCTCATGAAAAGACTGTGTATCGGATATCTACTTCGTAGATGTCTTAACTTGATGGCAAAATAGTGTCTCGTGCAGTAAAATCGTGGAGGCGGTGAAACGTGATACAGGCGCACATGATTGATTGCCTTTTATCTTTGAGGTTGCCTTCGTCTTTGAGGCCTGTGCGGACATGGCATTCTCTATAACGAAAGCCAAAAACAGGTGTACCTATGTAGTAATAATTGAGGTTAAAGACTACCCCACGTAGCCTTCACCACCACCCACCAACATATTGGCCTCATTCGAATCAGCTTCAGATAAGACATCAATATTTTTTGTAATCTACAAAATCGTCACTAGCATAGTTTTCGGGGCATGATTTCTAGATGTAACTTAAAGTTGTAGTGTGCAGATTAATTACATGGCCTAATGGGCGTACCTACCAATCCCAATCCCAACTTTTGGCCAGCCAGACGCTATAAAGTCTTCATGAGGGCACTCTTTTCTACTCTTTCCCCTTTTCTTTTTTTTCTCTCTCTCTCATACTACCTACTATAGGACGATTTGCTTTACCGGCGTAACCATCCAGGAATTGACCTAGCCCCCAATTATCCTGGATTTGACCAGGCAGTAACAAAATAATCATTCTTTTCGGGTTCAGAGCGTTTCGGGCTATGGTGATCGGTTGACATTCCATCGAAAGCACGATAGCTGGATATAGGAATGTCGTCTAAAGTCTGAGCCCAGCTGGGTCGAGGAACGCACCCACGGTCGGTTGGTTGTCATAAACGTATTCCCTTACCACTCGTGAGTACTGAGTGGGTGACGGAACAGACTATTACATATTCATATGATATTGTGTGCTTTAGGTTTGGTTCAATTTAGCCATTATCACGACTTAGCTACGTGTCAGTATGTGTAGTCTATTAGCCCTTGTTATTTCACGCAGATCTCGAGCCTTCCTACAGGGCCTACTGTGACAAGGGCTTGGAGACAAATTCAATTCAATTCAATGAACTAATCTATTAAGGGTTCCTTGATGCCTGATCCTCTTGAGCCCCCTCTTTCCGTCTGAATTTTGAAGCTATCAATAATTAATACAAATAGTGCCAATCAAACATTGGCATTATCACTGAAATTATCGAGCACTGCAGGTAGGGGTGCAATATAGCATTCATTGACGTGCGAAGGTCTCTACTGCTACTAGGTACGATGTATCTACATATATAGCATTATTGCTTTGTTCCCCAGTTTATCGTATAACAACAATACAATAACCCGGCTGTCATGACTGCTAGTGTGGGGATATACAATGATATTCGTGGCGGCAGTGATGAGCTGGATTTCACGCTGATATTGCAGAAGACAGGTACTAGGAAAAAACGGACTATAGGTATGGTTTGTTGGTAAGACAAACCACCCCAATTGCTCTATCCTGTTTGATGAAGACCAGAGATATGGAAAGGCCAAGAGTCCGACAAGGTCCGTACGACGGCAGACCTTCCCCTCGGTGTCAAGCAGGGAGGATGGTGTGTGGTGGTGTGTGGTTATGTGTAATTGGGCAATGGTTTGATGCAGGGTTAATATCTCGAGTAAGCACGGGCTGTATTGTTATAGAGGCACAGGCTAGACGGACGGTGAAGCTGGGACGTGAACGGATAACGAAGAGAGACGAGGAGATGGAGGGAAGAAGGGAACAGGAATATTGGATCACGACAAGGTAGAACATCTCTTGCCGACAGATCTATTTCATGACGTATTGCACTTTCACTTTCCATTATTGGGCATGCTCCAAACGTCAACTGCTACCTTGCTGCTCGATGTTTCGGGTGTTCTCCTAGTTTGCACTTGCTTGTTATTCGCATTATCGGCAAGATGCACCCAAGCAGCAGCATCGACACCTCTCTTGAGGCATCGAATGGTTACCTGACGATTCAAGCCGGATGTTCGAAGGGGGCTGTATAAGCGTGGATGTGAATCTTGCTGTTGCGCGATGCATCTAAGAGCTATTTTCATATCTATAGTCCCAGCTACATATACAAAGTCTTTCTAGTGGAGATTACGAAACCAGGTGGTAGATCCGTTAATGTGTTTCAAGAACTGAGGTACTACAAAGTAATATATACAATATATAAACTCCGTGTTAAAGAACTTTGCATAATAATATAGTCACATAGTTATCTGCGAGGATGTGGAGGCCTTCGCGCAACACCAAGTGTCTTTACCTACCCGTACCTGGTTCCTAACACTGAAGCTATTCAGCCCTTGTTTGAGATATAATTATTAACGAACTTCAGAGGTTAGGAACCGCCGTAGCCTTGTATATAGAATCGTAGCCAGCCACAAAGGCCTGTACTGATCTATTCATATAAGTAGAACTTGGACTTCAGAGCTTCAGAATACACTTTGCATGAGCCCACCCAGCTGCAAGAAAGACCCCTCGGTAGCCATAGTAGATTATTGTCATCTACAGCTATTTCCAAGCCCCAAAATAGAGCTCTTCTTATAACGGCGCTCTACCCAAGTGTACTCCTCTCGCTTATACTTTGTAGAAGATTCTTTCCTTATTCATGCCTGAGTCTTGTGTGGTACTTACTATCTATGAACGAGACATATGAAACTATTCTCATCTGTTGTGCCTAAACTTACCTACCTACCCACTCATGACAGAGGCTGACACTTGATCTATAAGTATACACTTGTAACGGAGTGCCTAACCCCGTGGTCCGCCAACGTAGCTTAGATCAGCAAGGGTTCAATATCCACAGCTTTACTAAGTTCTATATGAGTGTAGCTCGAATTATGTATACCAAACAGCGCATAAGTGTTGAGTGCATATAACAAAATAAATACTACATAATATTTTGTTGTTCTTGATTCATAGTAGTTAGGTGAGGAATTGCAAAAATTTGGCAAAACATACAACACCAGGGATTCGCTGGTCGTCACCGACCCAACTACTAATCTGGCAGTATCTGACTTAGCTAAGGGGGAGCGGACGGGACCCCGCGTTCTCCAGATCTTATGGTCGTATGTATCAATATTCTTTATTAATTTCTTTTATATAGTAATAGTAGGTTTGATACACAGACAATGCCATACACTCAAGGTATGCAGGTATTACGCACTCCGCTTCAAAAGACATCGGCACTCTTCTTCCAGCTTGAAATCTTCTCACCACCAGACGATCACATTAAAATTTCCATACCTAGGTACGCAGTGAGCACTACTGCTAGGTGTCGGGAATAGCTATTTCCATGCGTCGGCAGGTCCATTAGTTTGGTCAGCATGTTGCTGCCACGGGGATAAGTAAGCCCGGTCTGCCTCCCACCCCACAGAGTAATTTCGCGCTCTCGTGCTCTCGTTCCTGCGCGCTTTTCCGAAGGTCTCTTGGTACCAAGAGAATAATAATGCCTCTCCAGTCTTACAGCGAGCGCAGCAGGATTCTAGAGGCGAATGGAAACATGCCACCATAGGTCTTGGTACACCAACTCGGCTCGAGGCATAATACCAAGAACTACCTAGCATAGCAGAGTGCGTAGGAAATGAAATGAATAGAAAGATCGGTTGCCAACAAAGCGCCTCGCATGTCATTAAATGTTGGCTGGCCAGCCCTGTTACCTACGTCATTGGCTTTGGGGGTTGCAGGGGACAGCCCCGAGGCTTGGGTAACAACGAGTAATCCTCTTTGCTGCCCTGGGCAGCATTGGATAACTTGCCTAGCAGCACTAGAAAAACTAGTAAAACTGCCAATATACCTACTAGTATACTAGTATATACCAAGTACCCGTTGGGACTCCACTTCCGTCGCCAACCTTCTTACTTCCAGTAGAAGCGTTGGGGTCTTTAATTCGTAAATGACCAGTCAATTCGTAAAAATCACGTGGTACTTCCAAATACGTGCAATTCCCACTAAAACAGAAGTAGTTCCTGTTTTATCCAAATGCATGCTACATTCATACTTCTTATATGAATGCCAAGAATATCACCACCCTTGCTGAAACTGCTAAGTTAGTTAATTCTTCGATAGTTAGTATACTTACCGCCTTAAGTGACGTTAGCGATTGAAAAAGAAGGTGTAGAAGTTGAAGATTGAAGGTGTTGAAGGTGTTGAACGTTGAAGGTGAAGGCGTTGAAGGCGTTGAAGGTGAAGGTGTTGAAGGTGTAGAAGTGGGTGGGGTAAGTGGGCTGGAAGGTGGTTGCCTAATTGAATCTTATTGCAGTATTCAACTTTTTCAATCGTTATGTAAAGTGTAATTGGTTAAAGCAGAGCTACTTCTATTTTGGTGTGGCTGCTATATAAAATTAAGTACCAGGGTTTTTACGAATTGACTGGTCATTTACGAATTAAAGACCCCAACGCTTCTACTGGAAGTAAGAAGGTTGGCGACGGAAGTGGAGTCCCAACGGGTAGTATCATCGATCTCGTGAATGTCAAGATCAGCGATGCAAGATTTGTACATCCGTTTAATTATTTGTTTATTTACTCTGAATTCAGCCTAGGGGTCTATGAGACATTGTAGAGAGAATCAAGTAGGGCTGGTGCTCTTAAGTACTATTTGGAAAACTTACCTACCTACTCCGTAAATACTTATTTGATTAATTCTGTGCAATTTGTTTAACAAGCGTCCAAAAGTAGGTGAGAGTGTGATTTGCGTTTGACCGGCACCAAATCCGGCAGACCTGGGCCTTCACATGACAATTAGAAAAGGGAGCCCCAGAAAATGGTATGGCCTCTTCTGGACTATCGAGCATCTTCGATCTACTTACTGCGTTACTCCTCCGCAGGGCAGTGTTTTCTGCATTTGTTCAAGTGACCTACGCTAATACTACTTATACGATTGACGATCATGTCCATCATCTACCTACTTACTGGCAATCCGAGTAGTCAGGCTGCGAACAGCATATTACCTACCTCGCTACCTGGTCCTGGAAGCATCTGAATCAAGGGACCAAATCTCAGTAGCATGACTCAGGAGTCTCGGCCGTTGCCGAGCAATGAATATGCAGCTTAGAGAGATCCATGGACAACGCACGCGCTTCGTGAAAGGGATATATATCCCAGAATCATCTTTTTTTTTCCCCTGGCCGCTCAGTAATGCTCTACATTGATCCCACCGCCTGGTGACAAGGGCTGGGCATGTATCGAACTACTGCTAATGCAACGTGCGGGCGGACACGCCTTGTCACACGTAAGTCCATGAGACCAAACCTGAGGCGGTTATTCATGTTTGGTCCACTTTGTTATTTACGAGTTTTGTCACGGCTAGGCTCGAAACTCTGATTATTACTATGTAAAGGTTATTGAATGCCAATATGAATGCCGATGATTAGCAATGCCGAATCAGCGGCACGATTGCGCGTTACGCTAGACAGCCGCTGTTCATTTTGTCGGCGACCCTCCCGAATGCCGACAGCCTCGGAGGGGGGCTTTCAGTTACTGCTTCTGGCAGTCTGTAGCCTCAACGATGCATGCAGGCATTGCTGTGGAGATGGTTGTGTTCCTGGATGGCGGAGGAAAGGCGGTGATACGGTGCCGGGGTTCGAGCATTGCTGCAGCCTGCAGGCATCGTCTGGCAGCATAATGATCAGGGTGACTTGTGACCCGAAAATTTGGTCGAGAGGGTATTTGGCTCGGGGGTTCCTTGCGAATGTGCTGGGTACCTACCTACTGTATCCTTGCCATCTGTTGATGCTGGGAGATCTAGCTACCTACTTAGGTAGGTATTATAATGCGTTTGATTCTAGACTGCCAGAGGCGACTGAGGCGAGCGAGGCGAGTATACTTCGTAAGTATAGGTGTGCTGAAAAGAGTAAGGACACTGGCAGGGTTGGTGCAGGGCGGGTGCAGGGCGAAGCGGGACGAGTGTTGGCCTGTCGCTTTGCAATTCTCCTCAGCCTATGAAGGAGGAGAGAATAGAACCGAATGACTAGGATGGCGGCAGACAATACATCATAGGTACATCATGCCGTGGAGCTGCCGTGGAGCTGGCCTCATCATGCCTACCGAGTAGCGAGTAGCGTAGCGTACTCTGTTCTGTTCCGATTCTGTTCTGTGTGCGCATGTCCCCTCGACGCCGACGCTCGGATGTTCGCATTGTTCGCCATCATCGCCAGGATTGCCATCGTCGCTGTTATTTTCGTCACCACGACGTGGGCGGCATGAGGCCGACTCTATTCACTGTACATGATGATAGAGGAGGAGGCGACTTCATGGACAGACAGACAGACAGACAGACACGTAGATTGAGCACAACTGAGTCGCACATTCCACGCAATCATCCGGGCTACTTTCTCTAGTGCGGCATATGAAGGATCATCGGTGTTCTTTCTACCCTGTCGCCCGTCTCGCCTGTCTTCTGCCCTGTGTCTAATGCGCGCTAAACAGATGCTACGAAGTACGAAGTAGGTATTCTCATTCCAATTAATGCACAAAGGGTTTTGTTTCGATTCTCTATCCTCTTGCCGGCCACGTCGCCTTTCCGATACCCGGCCGAGCTCCCCCATTTCCTTGTTTCTGGTCCTTGGGCACGCAGAGAGAGAGACCTCAGCTTGGGCATACCTGGAATATAGCTGTCGCGCGTGTTTTATGTAGTTTCGTCACCACCATAGGTTGTTAGATAGGTAGGTAAGTGGTGTAGCATTAATATTCATGCGTGTCCCGCTAGCAGGATTCGTATCATGACCATCATCATCATCATCATTAGCACCACCTAAGTAATATACACACACGGCGTGGTTTCTTCTCCCCTTGTTTCTCTCTTTCCCCTTCCCTTCCACTTCCGGCCCGATCGCCAATTGCTCGCGAACAGCCCAGCCAGCCCAGCCAGCCCAAGCCAAGAGCCAGACAGCCAACCCACTCACTCCCTCCTCCCTCCTGCTTCCCACACACCCATCTCACCTGACCACAGAGAGCCCAGACCTCCTCCATTACGCCGGATTTTCTTGTGTCAGGCTCATCCTCACGTAGGTCTCTGACAAGAACACCTGGGCCTCCTGCGACGCTGCCTCCCGCCTCCCGTCTCCGGCAAGCCCCAGCGCAGCCGTTCCTGTGCGCGCGCATCACCTTGCATCATCTGATTCTGGCTCGCTCCTCGCCCTGCCACTCAAGTCAGCCGGTGCTTTCCCCATTCTTCTCCGCAGACGGCGGCTGCAGCAAAAGTCTTCCACTTTCAGCAGCCCACACTTGGATACACCTGGATACCTACCTAAGTACGCATCCAACAGTACCGAGAGCGGGTCCCGGGACATATCGAAGATCTCTTGAGACACAGCCCGCACAAATCCGCAAACCAGGGTCATCCCCTACGGCACTCGGTCGTGTTGATCGTGTACCCCAGACCGTCGAGTTCTGTCAACGTGGTTGCTTTTTGCTCACCCTGCCAGCATACATTGTATGGCTTGCAACACCTGCCGGTAGCTTGTGATTGTCATTGTGATTGATTGATTGTTCGTTCTCTCACCCCTCCCGTGCCCGCGGTTCCATCTCATCCTGTCGGTACCTGTACCCCAGCTGCGGTAGTGTAAGTCACGTTTTGTCTCTCATCGCTTCCTCTTGCCGCTCAATCGCCCTCTTGCTCCGTCCGGGTGGTCTTCCTCCAATGATCTCCCTGTGCCTAAATCCAACCTAAAACAAATTCATTTATCTACTGTACGTCCATCTACGCACAGACTCGCCCTCGCTCTCGCGCTCGCGCTTTTCTTGCTCTGGCTGAACGTGTTGCTTTTCCTCCCACCACCTACCCTGCTTACCACTGCACACATCCTTGCAAGCCAACCCACTCAACCTACGATCTATACATATTCCATCCCATCCCATCCCATCTCATCCATCCCCCTGGGTATAGCTATCCCCGACTTGGGAGACACCTACTCTGATATTCGTCAAGCTTGTCGTCTATCAATATATTTGTCAACTGGTCTTACCTAAACTCTGTGACATCGAATTCTCAGAAATTGCGCATGTTGATTACCATGATTTGATCTCATTACCCACCTTTCCTTCTTTTTTTTTTCCCCGCCTCGTCGCCTGTCGCCAATTCTTGTTTCATAGCTCTAACGCATCACAATGTCAAGGTCGGATTGGAATCGGCCCAGGTGTGCCGACCAGCACCTCACTCATCCTATAGGCGGAAACGTCTATTATAGACCAGCAGTTGAAGAGCGCAGGAATCCTGCTGGCCAATCGTTCCCGAGTCCTCAAATTCAATCACGGTCTCGTCGACACAATACGATTCACATTCTGTCCTATCCTTCAGGTTATATTCCGGAAGAAGTAAGAGCCGATTTGGCCAAGTGCAGAAAGGCTGCCAAAACGAAAAAGAAGAACAATAAAAACAACGAAGCAGCAACGGAAGTGGAGGAGGCAGCTATTAGCAGGTCGTCTAGGCGAGTTTTTGAGAAAGTCTTGGCTCCATTCAAGCTCTCCATACCGCAATCAGTTGGCGCCGACGCTCCATCACCAGCTACCGACCATTCACCTATTTCACCCGAGAGAGAGCGACCGCTGTCTATGATTACAGTACCACCACCTGGCACGGCCCCCTTGGCCAGTACTACAATGTCTGAGACGCGTAGGGCGTCTGTTGTGGGCACAGCGCTCCATAACGCTCACCGCAATAGCGTAATATCGGTCCGTTCAGCCAAGAGCATCATGAGCTCAGTAACCGAAGTTCCAAAGCCGGTAGCCAGTGGAAGCGGTGTTCAATGCTCGATAATTCTTGCTGAACCCAACATCTTCCTCACTGGCTTCGACCACGACGCTCATACGCGCCACCAATCTGCTAACTCCACTGCGCTTCTCCGAGGCAAATTGCGGCTCGACATCACCAAGAACGTAAAGTTGAAGTCAATCACTCTCAAACTGCATGGAAGAGCTAGGACGGACTGGCCTGAAGGAATTCCACCTATGAAGATAGAGCAACATGAAGAGGTCTCATTGCGGACGCAGGTGTTGACTTTTTTCCATGCCATGCATGAGACTTGGGAAACCGAGTTCGGCAACCAGTGCATCTATTCGTTAAAACGTTGCTCAGAGAATACGAACAGAACTTTGTCGATACCCACGCCATCTACCATGTCAACGGCATTGAATCGAGGCTCCTCTTCGAACATGAATGCCCGGGACTACAAGCGATTGTCCCTCCAGTCTGTTCAGTCTAGAAGTTTTGGGAAAGGAGATTTGCAAAGTACCGAAACGGCACATTCTAGGACCTACAAGACATTCTATCCTGGCAAGTACGAATACACATTCGAGCTTCCCATTGACCACCACCAACTGGAGACTACAAAGCTCCAGTTCGGATCCGTCAAGTGGGATTTAGAGGCGACTGTAGAGCGAGCAGGTGCCTTCAAGCCCAACCTTCATGGGTCCAAGGAAGTTCGCATTGTACGGGTTCCCGATCAGCTTTCGCTTGAGATGACAGAGCCGATCTCAATAAGTAGGCAGTGGGAAGACCAGCTTCACTATGATATCATGATATCGGGAAAGTCTTTCCCAATTGGCACCCAAATTCCAATTGCATTTAAGCTTACACCGTTGGCCAAGGTGCATGTTCATAAGCTCAAAGTATACGTCACCGAATCGGTAGAGTATTGGACAAATGACCGAAGAGTCACTCGAAAGGACCCAGGTCGTAAAATACTATTGTTTGAAAAAGCAGCTGGAAAGCCTCTGGATAGGCAGTATGCATCATCCGAGATACGGGTACTGAGTGGTGGCGAGCTTTCACCTGATCAAAGACACGAGGCACGAGAGGCAGCTCAGAGGCGCAGGGGGTTTGACGCTTCCTTGCCGGAGACTTCAGAAAACATGCTCGGGGATTTAGACTTGGGGTTAGAGTCCTATTGGGGATCAACTGAGATGGAAATGAATGTCCAAATCCCAACCTGTGAACAGATGGCGAAAGACAGAAACCTGCGTCTTCACCCAGACTGCAGTTGGAGGAATGTTAATGTCCACCACTGGATAAAGGTATGTATTCGAGGTTTCCCCCGCTGTGGCCGTCCATGAAGGCATGAAATCTAACGCAGATCTGGGACGCAGATCGTCATGCGCATCTCTAGGCTTGACCCCGATGACCCAGCGGGCAAGAAACGTCGCCATTTCGAGATCAGCATCGACTCGCCTTTTACCGTACTCGATTGCCGCGCGACGCAAGCAAACACGGCCCTTCCTGAGTACTCAGGTTCTGAACGACCGATATACCATCAACAGACTAGTTGTGGTTGTCCCGATGCCGAAGTCCTCACAACCAACCCCAGCCCAGCATCTAGCACGGGCACTATACCGTCAATCGAAGCCAACTCAAGCATTACATTACCACCCGCGGCCCACGTCCAACAGCATCCTGCAGCAGGCTCTCAACCGGTTCAGCGACCAATGCATCTGATTCGTCAGCCAAGCCACAACCCTCCCGCATTTGACGCTGACGACCCTCCACCTCCATTGCTCACCCCCCCTCCCCAATACGACCTCGTCGTTGGAACACCCAGTGTAGATGGCCTGGCCGATTATTTTGCGAGACTGGCCGACTATGGTGGCGACTCCGATAGTGAAGATGAGGACGTGACGATGCAAAGGAGCCGACTAATGGAGCGCACGGGGCGTGTTAACGTACCGCATCCTACACCCGGCGGGCGAGCAGTGGGAAGCCGAAGCCTCGAAATCCGACGCCCTCCGGTACCGGATGCGCTGCACATAACAGGGGCGCTTCAGCAACGAAGAGGTTAGTTGCCAAACTTCGGTTGCGGGATCTGCGAATCTGTGCTTAACCGTCCCCGTTACGGCGCGACTTCTCTCGCTTCGGACAGTCTAATTGAATCACATTAACTTTCTTTACAATTTTTCATAACACATCAAAAACGTCTTCACCATGACGGCAGTCTCATCGATGTCGGGTTATTACTGCCAGTGCTCCGTTCAGACATGGCGATGCTGGCACTGATGCCCTACGATATTCGAAATATGCCATGACTTCTGGGATGGGAGGCGAACCCCTTGAGTCAAATAAGCCTGTCTATGCGAGCCGCGCTGGTTGGGCGAGTGCGGATACGCTTGCCCAGGCTTTGTCGGCTTCGCGTTTCCCATATTGGGTGTTTGTCTACAAGATCATGTCGAATTGCTTAACATACACAGCGTGTTGGGTCGTCAAGGGAGAGTTGGATCTGGTGCATTGGCTTTTGGTTGGGAACAGAGGACGTTATGACCTACTTATTCATGCATCTTATTAGGCGTCTGCGGGGGATACCCACCTTCTACTTACTATTCGTGATACCTATAATTGAAATTCCATCTAGATACAGATATCTTGTGAGGCGTTCAGCTTGATTTGACTGCAACTTGTGGTTTTATGTTTGATATGCTGGAATTACGCTCTTTTGAGTTTGTCATGTTTACCATGAAGACTTTGCTGTCATAACGCTTCTGGATTTCAGGGACGCCGTCTACCTGCATGTTGCATTTGGCGATTCCCTAATGGCTCTATTCGAACGATTGCTAAGTCTAACGCTGACATACTGAGCGCCGCTTTAGACACAGACCCAAGGCTCAGGGGTAGCTCCTTGAATGGCTCGGAGCTGCAGCCGATGGTGCCAGAAGCCCTAGACCCTGGGAAACGAGCCACGGTCTGGAGGGAGAGCGTTGGATATGCCAAACTAAGGAAAGAAGAGACTGCATTGGGTAATCTGTCATGAGTACTTAGTTTCCTTTGAGACTTGTATCACAGATTCTTGAAATATTCAATCTTTTACTTTTATGTATATCATGATTTCTTATCCAAGATAATAAGTCAGAATCAATATTCTCAATTCTCGGCTATCTTACTTACATCAACCTTCTCAACTCAAGCGGCAGATTAACTGTCAGTCCTATGTATGATACACATCATTTGTATCACTAACTATCTACCAGTCGCTAGGTAACTAACTGGCCATATGATTGATCAGGCGGCATTGCAGCTGGGGATTGTCATCCCAGCCTTCTATGTCACAGGGCTGCCTTGTAAGTCAATCTCTAGAGGTTAGAAGGTTACGATAGATTGTCAAAGCAAGGTGTAGTTTTGGTAGAGAACCGCACTTGAACTGTAATTAACTATAATCAGCACTTGTAACAGCCCAACAACTGCAGATATAGTGTGGGGTCGACTACAGATCTAAGTAGCTTCGCTCATTCATATTAAGACAGACTCATACATCGTTCCGTGAAATGCAGAGCCTCAGCTCTTATAGGTGGAGAAAATACCCTTGCAACAAAGGACCATGTCAACGACGGCTATGCGGCCCTGGTCTACCTGAGCAACAGCGTCGTATACCGTTCCTTGGCCATCAGGAACAGGCAATGAATGCCAGCAATGACCGGTCGTCCGAGGATACCCCTGTTTGAGAGATTTTTCCTCCAGCGAAGAGAACGGAGCGGCCCCCCCGTATCACATTTCGAGTTAGTAGAGCCGTACCACGACGACAGCTCCGCGATACTGCCATTCATGCGTGAAAATGGGGAAACAAAGTGAAACAGGCATAATTATATATATATAGCCTAAGATGCAACCGCGGACGCTCGCAGGTTTAATCTACACCGGTCGAGCGACTGCTACCCCGGGTTAGATTAACCTTTTCTTGGTTTCTGCTCACGCTGATCAGATCGGTCTTCTTGCCATGTTGTATAGCACGGCGCTCACGGCTCTGCTGGCCTTGCCCGGCGCTTCGGCGCAGCTGAATAAGCTGGCCAAGGCCGCGGGTCTGTTGTACTTCGGCTCCGCGACCGATAACGGTGAGCTGTCGGACAGGAGCTACGTCAATATCTTGTCGAATACGGATGAGTTCGGTCAATTGGTAAAGATATCCCTATTTCCCCATCGCTGTTCGGCTAGTATTTCGATGGAAAAGCGCTGGACGAGATTACTGTTTTTTCCCCTTCTTGATCTGCTCTCGCATATGCTGCACACATACTGTGGAAAGACAGCGCTGACTTCTCTTTTGTAAAAGACGCCGGGAAATGGCCAGAAATGGCAGTACACCGAGCCCAGCCGGGGTAGCTTCTCCTATAGTTCCGGTGACCAAATCGCGAGCCTGGCAGCTAGCAATGGCCAGCTTCTGAGGTGTCATACACTTGTGTGGTACTCACAGCTACCATCGTGGGGTCAGTAATCGGAGACCGCAACCTTTGGTTATTGCACATACTAACAACTGCAATAGTCAGCAGCGGATCGTGGAATTCTCAAACCCTGACATCCGTGGTGAATACACATATCTCTAACGTGGTCGGTCATTACAAGGGGAAGTGCTATGCTTGGGATGTCGTCAACGAAGCACTGAACGAAGATGGAACGTATCGCACAAATGTCTTCTACAACGTCCTCGGCGACTCCTACTTCGCGCTCGCCTTCAAAGCTGCCGCCGCGGCGGACCCGAACGCAAAGCTGTACTACAACGATTACAACATCGAGAACCCGGGCTCGAAACAGGCCGGTGTCGTGAAGATTGTGAAGCTGGTGAAGGCCGCGGGCGCCAAGATTGATGGCGTCGGAATGCAGGCGCACTTGATCGTCGGCAGCACGCCGAGCCAGAGCGCCATGCAGTCGTACGTCGGCGCGGGCGTGACCGAGGTGGCGTACACGGAGCTCGACATCCGGTTGTCCTCGCTGCCGTCGAGCAGCTCGGGGCTCGCGCAACAGGCCAACGACTACGGCACCGTGACCAAGGCGTGTCTCGCCGAGAAGGCCTGCATCGGCATCACCATCTGGGATTACACCGACAAGTACTCCTGGATTCCCGGCGTGTTCCCTGGCCAGGGCGACGCGCTGATCTACGACTCCAACCTCAATAAGAAGCCTGCCTGGACGACTGTCAGCAGCGTGCTTGCTGCCGCTGCGACTGGAGGTGGTGGCGGTACTACGACGACTCGCGCTACCACCACGACGATGGTCACGAGCACTACTACCCAGGGGGGTTCGAATCCGACGTCTTGCACGGTCGTCCAGTGGGGGCAGTGCGGTGGCCAAGGCTGGTCGGGTTGCACGGTTTGTGCTGCGGGTACGACTTGTCAAGTGGGCAACCCATGGTACTCGCAGTGTTTGTGATAGATAACGGCAGAAAGTATGAATGTAATACTTTACTAGGCTCTTGTTTAGTCCATCTCTACGCGTTCCTGGGAAGAAATATAGGGTACAAAGTCTCTCGCCGTCCGATATCCCGTGAGCAAGTCCTTTTTGGGGGAACATGAAGCGAATTAGTTATTCTATCAAGATCAGATCTTCATCTACTTGCGAGTAAGAACAATGTCTTTCTCAAGCAATATGTATTGTTTCTCACTTCTAATGACGCTCACTTGTTGTCTAGAAACAAGAGGGGGGGGGGGGGGGGGGGGGGGGGGGGCGGGGGGGGCGGGGGGGGGGGGGGGGGGGGCGGGTCGAGCC